AGTTGGAGGTCATTTCCCCCCATTTTATTTATTCAGTTTCCTCACCTTTAACTTTCTCCAGGTCAGCTCAAAAAGTTCAGGTCAATCAGATTTCAAATCCTATTCTCATCATAATGCATACTACATCAAATAAGTACAATTTTGAAGAGTAAGAACAACACTAAAATTATGTTCAACTAAGTCTATTTATTAATAACATAGACTATTTTTATTCAATTTGTGGCAGTTTTCTTTTTTTTAATGGAAAATGCCTGTCTAAAAAAAATACAGTTATAATAGTCAATGATTACATTAAACAAAATAATACATCTACATAAGCAATTATTAGAGTTAATGGCAAATGTGCTCAACAGATATAAAGCATAATTAAAGACTGTTTTGTTCTTGCTTTTCTCCAACAAGTATTTTAATTTTATTCAAAAGTCCTGAATTAAATTTTTTATAATTTTCAATTTATCATTAGAATGTAAAATATAATTTTACTATAATAAAAATGACTAGGGATATTTCTAAAGGAGATCATAAAATCATTATCAACAGAATAAATATATTAAGTGCACTAGATTTTATATAAACAATGTTTCAAACAATCAGTTTGACAGATAACAATGATATATAAAGGATTTATCTGACAAAGACAATTACACAAATAATCTATAAAGACTAATCTATAACCTTGTAACTAAAAGCACAATTTAGCAAAATTAAGACCAAATAATATAAAATTGAAGCATTAAAGGGAAGTATGGCTTTCCAGCAAGGCCCAGAAACTGAAGCAGCACAGAAGTTTGAGACCACTACTATGATTTATCCTCCTTAATGATTCTAAAAGCATAGACTGAAGAAGTAAAAACATCAAAAAAAGCACATAAAAACTGAAAAGTCAAAAGACACATATCAAGTATCTATAAATAATAAATGTGGCCAAAATATCTATTAGTTCTTCTAAAATAAGTCTCAAAGTCAATCTGTTGAAGGAATTCCATCTTGGACGAGTTCTTAACATCTCTATGTCTCAATTTCCTCATCAGCAGAATAGGTCTTCCACAAGTAGTATAAGTTTTGAATGAAATGCAAGCTGTAAAGCACTTAGAAAAGGGTCTGGAGAATAACGGCCATACCAATGTTGTCTATTACTATCATCATCTGTACAATTATACACTAAAATATAATTTTTATCAACTAACAAGGAACCAATTATGAGTAAAAAAAATTCTCACCTCTTCTTAAGGATTGGAGGTTTACTAAAATGATGGCTTAGACAGAGGTTTTGTTAACTGTGTGGTTTTTTTAAAAAGTCCTATCTGCACAAACAGATGGAGAAATATACCGTGTTCATGGATTGGAAGAATCAATATTGTCAAAATGGCTATACTACCCAAAGCAATCTATAGATTCAATGCAATCCCTATCAAACTACCAACGGTATTTTTCACAGAACTAGAACAAATAATTTCACAATTTGTATGGAAATTCAAAAAACCTCGAATAGCCAAAGTAATCCTGAGAAAGAAGAATGGAACTGGAGGAGTCACTCTGCCTGACTTCAGACTATACTACAAAGCCACAGTCATCAAGACAGTATGGTACTGGCACAAAGACAGAAATATAGATCAATGGAACAGAATAGAAAGCCCAGAGATAAATCCACGAACCTATGGTCACCTTATCTTCGACAAAGGAGGCAAGGATATACAATGGAAAAAAGACAACCTCTTTAACAAGTGGTGCTGGGAAAACTGGTCAACCACCTGTAAAAGAATGAAACTAGAACACTTTCTAACACCATACACAAAAATAAACTCAAAATGGATTAAAGATCTAAATGTAAGACCAGAAACTATAAAACTCCTAGAGGAGAACATAGGCAAAACACTCTCCGACATAAATCACAGCAGGATCCTCTATGACCCACATCCCAGAATTTTAGAAACAAAAGCAAAAATAAACAAATGGGACCTAATGAAACTTAAAAGCTTTTGCACAACAAAGGAAACTATAAGCAAGGTGAAAAGACAGCCCTCAGATTGGGAGAAAATAATAGCAAACAAAGCAACGGACAGAGGATTAATCTCAAAAATATACAAGCAACTCCTCCAGCTCAACTCCAGAAAAATAAATGACCCAATCAAAAAATGGGCCAAAGAACTGAACAGACATTTCTCCAAGGAAGACATACAGATGGCTAACAAACGCATGAAAAGATGCTCAACATCACTCATTATCAAAGAAATGCAAATCAAAACCACAGTGAGGTACCATTATACGCCAGTCAGGATGGCTGCTATCCAAAAGCCTACAAGCAATAAATGCTGGAGAGGGTGTGGAGAAAAGGGAACCCTCTTACACTGTTGGTGGGAATGCAAACTAGTACAGCCACTATGGAAAACAGTGTGGAGATTTCTTAAAAAGCTGGAAATAGAACTGCCATATGACCCAGCAATCCCACTTCTGGGCATACACACCGAGGAAACCAGATCTGAAAGAGACACGTGCACCCCAATGTTCATCGCAGCACTGTTTATAATAGCCAGGACATGGAAGCAACCTAGATGCCCATCAGCAGACGAATGGATGAGGAAGCTGTGGTACATATACACCATGGAATATTACTCAGCCATTAAAAAGAATTCATTTGAATCAGTTCTAATGAGATGGATGAAACTGGAGCCCATTATACAGAGCGAAGTAAGCCAGAAAGATAAAGACCATTACAGTATACTAACACATATATATGGAATTTAGAAAGATGGTAACGATAACCCTATATGCAAAACAGAAAAAGAGACTCAGATGTATAGAACAGACTTGTGGACTCTGGGAGAAGGCAAGGGTGGGATGTTTCAAGAGAACAGCATCAAAACATGTATATTATCTAGGGTGAAACAGATCACCAGCCCAGGTTGGGTGCATGAGACAAGTGCTCGGGCCTGGTGCACTGGGAAGACCCAGAGGGATCGGGTGGAGAGGGAGGTGGGAGGGGGGACTGGGATGGGGAATACATGTAAATCCATGGCTAATTCATTTCAATGTATGACAAAAACCACTGCAATGATGTAAAGTAATTAGCCTCAACTAATAAAAATAAATGAAAAAAAAAAGTAAAAAAAAAAAAAAATACATAAAAAGTCCTATCTGTTAGCTTTATATACCAAAGTACTACAGGAGTTTCAGGAGTTGGGAGAGAAGGTGAAAAGAAATGAGAGAATGAAAAAAATTCTCGCCAAAATGTTGAGAATCACTGAAAATGAGTGAAAAGCACACAGGGATTCATTCATTGTCTTATTCTACCTATTTCTGTATTTGAAGGTTTTCATAATAGAAAGTAAAAAAAAAAAAAAAATTAAAACATTCAATTTAATATAATGTGTTAAAACATTTTAATATTTTCTTAACTCTAATAAGTGATTTTTTTTAAGTTGTTTCCTTTAAAAGCTCTTAAACTTCACATGATGTTCCTACTCAAAATGCATAAGCATTGTACTAGAATATACTAAGAGCTAATAATTATTTGTAAAGGGAATAAATAAGGGAATTAATGGTAGAGGCCCTTTTTCTTCAAAGATTTAAGACTAAACAGCTGTGCCAAAAGCCTTCTCAGGTTTAATATCATAATTAGACTCATCTTAGGATAAATTCTTTCATATCTTATGGTGAATATGGATACAGCAAACAACATAAATTCATGATATTTAAAATAATACAAATCTACATATACAAATAATTCTGAGTTGGGAATAAACAAATTTTTAAAGAATGAAATATATCCTCTACATGTAAATATAAACTCTGCAGAGGCAACTGTGTTGCTTTACGAAGATTTTTTACCAAATAGTTATACAAAACATGAAGTATACACTTTGGTTCTAAGACTAATTTTTAAACGTCTAAAAAAAACCCCAGAAAAACTAATATGCTAAAAATCAGGAGAAAATCTATAGATCTCTATTATAAAAATACCTCCTCATTATGCTGCTAAGTCACTTCAGTTGTGTCCGACTCTGTACAACCCCAGAGATGGCAGCCCATCGGGCTCCCCCGTCCCTAGGATTCTCCAGGCAAGAACACTGGAGTGGGTTGCCATTTCCTTCTCCAATGTATGAAAGTGAAAAGTGAAAGTGAAGTCCCTCAGTCTGTCCAACTCTTAGTGACCCCGTGGACTGCAGCCTACCAGGCTCCTCCGTCCATGGGATTTTCCAGGCAAGAGTACTGGAGTGGGGTGCCATTGCCTTCTCTGACCTCCTTATTATAGGTTGTGACAAACAAGAGCAAACAACACCTATCTCTGTATTATATTAACTGCATGTAGTGGTGATTAGCAGCTTCCCTGGTAGCTCAGCAGTTAAACGAATCCACCTGCAAGGCAGGAGCAGCTGCTGCTGCTAAGTCACTTCAGTCGTGTCTGACTCTGTGCGACCCCATGGACTGCAGCCCACCAGGCTCCTCCATCCATGGGATTTTCCAGGCAAGAGTACTAGAGTGGGGTGCCATTGCCTTCTCCGGCAAGGCAGGAGACACAGGTTCAATTCCTGGGTCGGGAAGATCCCCTGAAGAAGGGCACGGCAACTCACTCCAGTATTCTTGCCTGGAGAATCCCAGGGCAGGCTACAGTTCACAGGCTCGCATGGAGTCAGACACGACTGAAGCAACTGAGCACACAGATGATGATTAGTAACACAGATCACTTACGGGCCTCATCACTCAGCAAGGTATTTAAAAAAATCAATCCAAGTACAGTAATACAGACAACTAGGCATACAGAACTATACAGTTACTATCTGTGAAATCACAGACCTTCCTAATAAGGTCTAGGAGAAACAGAAAATAAATTATCAAAGACCTCCAAAACAAGCCTAATGGAACACTCGAAAGCATCACTGTGTCCTGCCATTTCATAATGCAATACTTATAGTATTAAGTTTTGCACCATTTCCCTGCAATAATGAGTCAGCATCTAAACAAATCTTAATCAGGAAACACCCTGAGAGGACAACACTTACAAAGTTTTTGAGATGCAAGTTGTATTGACTGACCCCATAGCTTCCTATCTTGATTTCTGAGACTGTCATTTATGAAATGAACTGCAGGTATAGCTTTGTGCTGGGCATGTTTCAGTAATTTTCCTGCCTTCATACGATCCAGCTCTTGTACAACCACCCAGGGAATTATTAACACAAGTCTGTCAAAGCCTAAAAAATAAAAAGATTTCTTATAAGTCAACAAACATGTATTAAGCTACTAAATCGAACTGCTGTAGGACAATTAAAAGTTTTAAAGACATTTATAATCTAAATGAAGAGATAATACATAAAAATAGGAACTAAAAACAGATACAAGTGTCAAGAGAACATTATAAAAATAAATATTAATACTACCAGAGATCAAAAAAGAGTAAGTTTAGAAGCTAGATTAACCAGTAAAGGCTTTTTCCCCCCTTTTTACTTAAGCTGATTGTGCTGTGTACGTTTGCGCTTAACAACATATCCAAATGAAAGTAAGTTTACAGGGAGTAAAAAACTCACATTACTATTAATATAAAGTATTAACTCAAATAAAATCAGAATCAGTTTGTTTTATAAATACCTGGGATTTCTGTTGTCATCAAAAGTCTAACAAATTTGAGATGATTCATTAGAATATTTGTGTCAATAACAATTAGAAGCTTTTTGTCTGAAGCAGTATTTGCTAGGGAATAAAAGCAAAGTGAGAATTGACATTTGTAACACACTTGTACAATAACTAAAACTTTGTTATCACAGAACTCTGATAGCATTCTTAAGGCAATCCTTTAAACAAAAATGCATTTACTCCAATTCTTAAGAGAAAGAACAGTAATCAGTGTTTAATTATCCACCAGTAGAATATTGCATATTACTTATGGGTGGATTTTTAAATCATAAACTAGCTTATGACAGCAGTAATTATGTTGTCAAACCCTGCACTCTTATCACTGGTAGTTATCCAGTTAGGAATGCTAAGCTAATTTTAATATATTGTGAAATAACACTGAAAAGATAACTATGTATAAAAGAAAGAAAACTAATAATACTAGTATTATTTCTTCTTAGGGTCATAATAGGAACAGGTGAGTTGATTCACAGAAAACAATAAATTGGAAAATGCAACATGAATATAATGTAGCAGCGTTACTATTTTTATAAATGCAATTCAAAACTGTATAGTAGCATACTCTGGAGGACATCTGTCATTTTCTTCTCTCAGGAGTAAGAATAATCACAGTTTTATTATATAAATAAGAAATTCAGGAATACCTTTGAGAAAATTGCACTGTTTCTCATCAGGGCTTTACAAACTTGAAACCGGTAAAAGTTATGATTAAGAGCAAGAATAACAGACTACTCATAATTCTGATTACTGCCTTTAGGTAAAAAAAAGAAGGAAAATATTTCTAACTGCCTAATAATGTGAGATACACAATGCAAATGATAACACAAATCATAGACCTGATTCCTACAGCTGAAAGAAATATACCATATTTTATTCATTCAGATGAGCACATTTTAACACTTTCAACCTAAATATTATAAAAACTAAACAGAGAAAACATAGGGGAGCACAAACACAGTCATACACATACAGGGTATACCAGCAGAGGAACGTGTATCATCTTCTACCATGTCAATTTCCATACTCATTAACTCTCCTGAAGGTGGAACCACAGGTAAATCCACACTTTTTCCCACACGAGCAGCATGAAGCTCTTCTACTATCTGCATCTAAATTGCAAAAGACCCACAAAAAAAAAATTTGAATTATTTTCTCTGCAGATTAATAAGAAAGCAATTAATTCTTAATTCACTTAATATGAGATAGTCTTTGGAAAGTAAAAATTTTACAAAAATATGTAAGCTTATGGTAAAAAACCACAGATTTATAAACATATACAGGGTTTATAGGACAAGAATTTGAAATAGAACAGATATATGTATATCTATAACTGAATCAACTTTGCTGTACACCTGAAACTAACATAACATTGCAAATCAACCACAGTCAAAAAAAATTTTTTAAGCTCTTTAAAAAAAATAAAAAATAAAATGGCTCTTCTCTTATTCTTTTTTTTTCTTTTTTTTCTCTTATTCTTATTACAACCTTAGGCAAATTATTTAAACACCATGGGTCTAGTTTATCTACACAATAGGAATGGTAAATATTTATATCCTTTTAGTACTTTTTGTAAGGATTAAGTGAAATAACATGAAAAACCTCACATGGGGTCTAATACAAAAGAGACTTCCAAAATAAGTTAATTCTCATTTCCACTCTCACTTCAAAGTACTTTAGGAGCCAAATATCTGGATGATCAGCACTCTTCCTAAGATTTCTAAGATTGTTAACTAACTATCAAAAACTGAAATCCAGATCTTTATACTTTTTTCATTTCAGGGTAGTAGTTCCCTCGTGTATTATAATGTAAAGAAATAAAAGTATAATCTAATTTTAGAGCAGAGGTGAGAAATCTTTCTTCTATCAAGGGGCACTGACCCAGAAGACATAAAAATATAACTGATTGTCACAAATAAAAAGCAATCAACATGGTTTTAAAGTCTCCTTTAAATAGAAAAATACAAAGTGTTCTGTGAATCTAATTTTAATTTAGAAGCAGGGAACATAAAATTACATGCACTACTTCTATTAGGTTTGACCAGGAGATTCTAGCTGAGAAATTAAGCAACAGGTAAAAAATAAATATTATGTGTTTTCATTTTCACTGAACATTTTCCTCTTATTGCTAATTAGAAAAATGAGGCAAAAACATTAATATCATGCTGTATTTTGGTAAGCTGAGGTGTATGTATGCAAAAACATAACATTAAATTAAAATTAACATTGTGAGCATAGGTTCCATGCTTTTTATTCAAAACAAACTAGAGCTTATTAGAAAAAAAAAGGCCAAAAGGTGATTGAGTAAACGGAAATACTTTTCCAAAGGATTTTTCAGGGCTTCATAAATACTTATATACTGAATTAAGTAGAGATATCACTGTTATTTTCATACTATAAAAGTTTTTATAATCATTATTTTTTATTAAAATAGGAACCCCCATCTTAATTTCATTAAAAATATTCAAAGTAAACAAATATGTCAGTAACCTCTTGATCTGTATCTTGAATACTTTCAAGTGACACTGAAGAACATGGTGCTTCAAAAGTCTGAAATGAAAAGTAATTTTATTAATTAGTTAAGCATACACTTAGAATAAGGTTTTTCAGCTGTGGCACTACTGACATTTGGGATCAGATGATTGTTTTGGGGGTTAATACTCTTCTCACTTCAGGTAAGTAGTTCCCTGATATATTATAATGTAAAGAAATTAAAGTAGAATCTAACTTTAGAGCAGAGGTGAGAAACCTTTCTTTTATCAAGGGGCACTGACTCAGAAGACACAAAAGTATAAATGACTGTCACAAATAAAAAGCAATCAACATGGCTTTAAAGTCTTCTTTAAATAGAAAAACACAAAGCGTTTGGGGTTGTTCTATGCATTGTAGGATGTTTAGAAGCATCTCTTCCCTCTACCCACTAGATACCTACCCTCCTCCCATCCCTGACAATCAAAAATGTCTCCATCCCTTTGCCCAAGCAATTTCAGTGTTGTAACAGAGACAGAATCTGATGTAAATAGAGTTGAAGAGAAAATTATCTATACTTCAGTTTATAGTCCAGTAAACTATGCTCTTTGGGGGTGCATGCTTCCATAAATGCAATAAAAAGAAAAACAATGAACAGGAAAAAAAAAAAAAAAAGTCTCCATCAAATCAGTTGCCAACCCACTAAGAGGCAATATTGCCCCCAAATGAAAAACTGTCCCAAGAATAGAAAAGCTTCATTCTATTAAGTCATGAAACATAGTATAAATTCTTTAAGATTTACTCATTCATATATATGCCTCCCTAAAAATACTCATATTCTAAGAACAAAACTTGCCACCTTAAGAAACAGAAATAACCATGGCAAAGATAAAAAGAATACCGGGCCTTGGTGGTGGGAAATTTTCATCCATTAGTAAATGAACCATTTCTAAAAGTGACATGACAAAACAACAAAAGAAACTGGGAAGATTATTATATGGCTGAGGGAGAAGACTGAAAATGTATGGGTATTTTATTTTTTGTCTCCAAGCAAAGACTGAAGATCTCTCTAATTTCAGTTTCTCACTGGCACTTTCAGTGAGTGGCTGAGATTTACCCAATCCTACATACAGGTGACAAGGAACTTAACTAAGCCTCTACTAAACCAAATCATCTTCTAAGAATTCTCCAAGATAACACCAAACACACATGTATTTTAGAAGAAGCTGGATATAAACTGAAGACTCTCTTTAAAAGAGTGTATCCTATGTTGCTTTGTTGGGAATTGAGCTTCTACCCTAACTTTCCAGTATCAATCTTCACACAATACAATACCACACACATCACACACATAGGCCCGTTACAGCTGTACTCTCCCATGACCCTGGGTTCTATAATGCCTTCTTCACCTGACTTTAAATCTCACTAGAACTTTAGATTCTCTTCAGCTAAGGAGTGCCAACCAAGCTAGAGATTATTATAGAACTTCCTGCAACTTCTGACATTCGAAGTCTTTTCATTCTTTTACTTAGGTCACTACTACCCTTCCCTCTCTTTGACTATAAGTCACTTCCAGTGATTTCAAAAAACTTTCTATCAACTTCAAATCCTTATTATAAAAGAAAGTCTTAGAGGGCATTCAACTTTGCCTTCCCCCTTCCATGTTTTATTAAGTCCATGGATTGGGATAAAGCCTTCCCTGGAGATGATAAAAGAGAGTAACAACAATGGCTTTATTTCCTGGAGTGATTCCAAACTAAAAACCTGATTATTCAGTGGCCCTGTCCTATCTACAAGATAAAAAAACAGTCTTTCCCAGGAGAGATAAAGGAATCCATTGCCTAGACCCTGGATTTCTCTCCAACTTCCTCTCATATAGATTCTCAACACATCTCAAGTCAAACTGAACAACGTAAATGCTCATGTATGCCTGTGCCATGCACTCTCACAACTCTGGGCCACTACACAACTGATCATTTCCCCTGGCAGGATAACACTTCTATTCTTTGCTCTACACATTTTTCAACGCCAAGCTTAAGAGTCTCCAAGCTTAAGAGAATCCCTTAAGCATCTCTTAGTGAGCCCTTCCTGAACTCACTTCCAAATTTCTACTAACACCAGCCAAATTCCCAGGGCTCTAATATTTTCTCCACTGTATCTGCAATTTTATTTGTTTACTAATCTACCTCTCTGGGAACTTTTTGAGGGTAAAAGTGTCTTATTCAAACTCTAAATGCCTAAAAAATAATAGCTACCTTTGATTAACGTTTAGATAAACTGATGAATTTCTACCCCAGAGAATGATAAGAACTAAGTTGGATACCATTTATAAAAGTGGCCTATAAACAGTACATCTCTGGAATATTAGTTCACAATGGTGAGGGGAGAATGCAAACTGAAAAGGGTCTATAACAAAGAACTGTAAGCCTAGGGGAAAAAAGAAGTCACTTTCTCCTAGGAAAGCATAACAGGATCCCTGAATACAAAAAAATACAATTACTTCTTTGTAAACTCACTATTGTAGGAAGACAATTATCCATTGAGGAATTTATGAGGAAAACAAATATAATATTAAGATGATTAGCAACAGATCACCAGCCCAGGGTGGATGCATGAGACAAGTGCTCAGGGCTGGTGCACTGGGAAGACCCAGAGGGATGGGGTGGGGAGGGAGGCGGGAGGGGGGATAGGGATGGGGAACACATGTAAATCCACGGCTGATTCATGTCAATGCATGGCAAAAACCACTACAATACTGTAAAGTAATTAGCCTCCAACTAATAAAAATAAATGAAAAAAAAAAAAAGATGATTAGCTACTGTCACTAATAATGGTAACAATAACATATTCAAGATAAGAACAATATTTACTTGCTGCTCCTGTGTCTAAATGACTTTCAGTCAGACAAGACTGCTATCAAAGGAATATAAAGAGTTTTAATTCCAATAATTGAAAAGTAATCATGCAAAAATTGCTTCCCCTACAACTTCTATGTACCTTGTTTGGTTTTTGTAATAATTCTAAACAGAGAGCAAAAAAGTGTGTAAGATACATCTCATACTGTTCCTTAGAGATACAGCACCAGGGGAATACCAAACCATGATACAAAGATGTTCAGTGAACAAACTGGAAAACTCAGATTCCTTTCTTGCATTCTACTCTAGAGAACTGGTTATACAGCACAAGAAGAAAACTGAAGCTTTCCTTTAAGAAAGCAATAAAAAGAACAAACTCAATTCTTTCCTTCTTTGGACCCTTTCAAGTTCAGTGAAAAAGAGTACTCTTAAACAAAAAAAAAAAGAGTATTCTTTCTCAAGCTCTTCTGGCCCCTCTAGTTACAATCCCTCCATTTTTCAAAGGAAGTATCTTATACAACACTCTCTAGTCTTGATTCCTAAAAAGAGGTAAGTTCCACCACTGCTGTTTATAAGCAGTCTCTAAATTTCAGAGCTTCTGAAGTTCCAAAGTTCTAAAAATTCTCCTAAAGATAAACAATTTTATTTGCCATAGAAACAAGGCTATTGCAATTAGGTTTTCAAATTAGTCCACAAATGCTGATTTACTACATAATTTAGAAGCAAAAATAGATGTGCCAAGCTTTCTAGCCTAGATCTCTGTATACATAGTTCCCTCTGGAACATTCCCGCTTCTCCCATCTCACTCCACCTTGTCTTCACCTGGATAACTCCTATTCAATCTTTAGTTCTCAGTTTACATGTTATCCCCTCCGGTAAATCTTACTGAATTAATCCATCCAAGGCCATGTTAATCCCACGCTATGTGTTCCCATATAAAGTGATTAAGTATTTGTCAGACTTGAGGTGGCTGTTTCTGTACCTCCTCATATAAGAAAGTCTTTGAAAACAATGACTGTGATTGTGGTACCTGATATACAGGGCACTCAAAAGAATAATTTGTTAGAGGAACAGCTATTTGGAATATCAGCCCCGGAATTGTTGTACCTGGAGTTAGAGAAAACTGTCATAGTACTTTTCTGATAGGACTGTCTATAACTGCTGCTTCTGTATTTTTACACAATCCCTTCTATTTTGGGTCCCTGATAGTTGCCAGGATAGTTTCTTATGGAAGTTGGAATTTACAGAGTAAAATAAAAGAACCAACATATCTTCCTGCTAAACAGAATTTGCCTTTTACGATCATTATCTATAACAGAAACAACTCGAACCTAACTATATTTAAACTCTTTACTAAGGTCTGTATTCATTTTGCACTATCTTACCTGGGTTAGGTTTTCACCAGAACTTAAATCATTAATTTCTTGATGCTCATGATATTCTCCTTCCCACTCATGGACAGTCTGCTTATTTGTGGAATCTGGAAATAAATATTCACTTCTGTGCCTTGTAAACTTTAATGAAAACTGGGAGCCTTCTGGGCATTCTTTTTTCTCCTTTTTAGTCTTTAACTTGTTAGAACCTAAAGTGAACACATTTTCTTGTACAAGATTCTGGAGGGTACTGCGGGATTTTACTGGGATTTTGAAGTTAATCCTTCTCCTTCTAGATTCAAGGGGTTCCTTAACTATCTTGTGGAAATTACAATCCTGAGAAAGTTGGATTCTCTTGCATTTCTCCGAAGCACATTTTTCAGAACTGTCTCTAAATTTATTGTACCTTTCTTTCTTGAATTCCTTCATCTTCTCCCTCTGAGCAAGTAAATGAGGCCCTTTTTCTTCACTTGTCTGGCCCTCAGCTTTTGGTTTCTTATCTTTGGCCACCTTAGGACAGCTAAAGTTTTCAATTCCATGGTCCAGCTTACTCTTAACATTTGCCAATTTAATATCTTTAACTTGAAAATATACACATTTACTTATATCTTTTTTAGTTCCATTTGAAGAAGGACTCTGTGAAATAATCTGATTATTATTTGAATATGATGTTTCCTGGAGTGTAACAAGTCCTTGGGATGAAGAACCAATTTTTGGTCTCTTTCTTGGAGGGTCAGTTTCTACATTCAGTCTGTAAAGCAGCACAGAAAATTAGGCACATTACAATTAAACATAACACATAATATTGCACTGTATCATTTTAGTTAGGAAATGAAAGAACTGGCCTGATATGAACTTCATTAAAAGTAAGAAATAACTACAGTATTAATAAAGTGGAAAGGATTACTCAATAAATGGTGTTGGAATAACTGATTTGTTATTTGGGAAAAAAATTTACAGATTTATATAACATCAGATGATGTAATCCCAAACAGATTAAACATTCAAGTGCAAAATAATTATTATTTCTGCTATATTTCATATTAAATACTTAAAAACCATAGAAGAAAAAGGGAATATTTATCAGATTTCTTAATAAAGAACTTCCTAAACTTAATAGCAATGGGAAAAATATCACAAAGGAAAACAGTAAATGTAAATGACTACAGTATATTAAAAAATAATAAAATTAAAATAACTGGGAAATGGCATATGCTACAAATGTGACAGCTTATTAGCCTTAGTAAATAAAAATCTCATCAAAAAGTACTAAGGCTCTAGAATAAGACACGAACAGAAAACCAATGAATTTAGAAAAAGGGAACAGTTAATAGACATTTTTAGGAGAAATGTTTGACTTCCCTAGTAGTCACAGATGTGCTAATTGCGATGTACCATTTTCTTCTATCAAATTAGTCAAGATTGTTAAATAACACTAAATACTGGCAACAGGTTGTTAAATGGAGCCTCTCATCTGTTGCCAGTGGAAATGCAAAATGATTTAACAGTTCCACAAAGGAATTTGATGATATAATTAAGAATTCTAAAAATGTTCTTATCTTTTACTTCTTAGCAATTCCCACTTTAGAAATCTAAGGAGAAAAAAGCTAAAAATAGACTAAAAATAATAAGATATTCAATTCAGGATTATCTATAAGAGCAAAAAGTCAGGTACAAGGTAAATGCTAAAATTTTGGAAATGAATAAGAAACATGTCATTCTACCGAATACAATAAACTATCATAGTCATTTCAAAGGATGTTTATGCAAAATTTTCAAAGACATACAAAATATACTGGTATACTATTAAGCAGAAAACAAGCATGGCATAAATCTGTATACATAAGATCATCTCAACAGTTTATATAAGTATAGTAAACAAGTCAGAAAAAAAGTACTAGAATGCTAGCAGCAACAATAGCTAGAGGTGATAACATTTTCCTGCACAACAAAACTAGATATTACTCTGTAGTCAGAAAGAAAGGCGAAAAAATTTGATGAGCCACAATCTATTAATTTATATCAGGAAACTCCTGAATGCCTTTTAAGTGCCTGTCATTCTGCCGGACACTGGGAGGCAGTGGAGGACACATCAAATATAGTCCTTACCCCTCATTAATTTACCACCCAGCAGGGGATAAAGAGACCGGAAATAAGTGACTTCTCAAAGAATTAATTATGGCAAGAGCAAACTATAAACATCTCAGAGTTTCCATGGGAGTTTCACCTGAGTCTTCACCTGGTTTTATTTTCTTTGCTCTATCTACAAAAAGATTGCCTATCATTATTCACCTGTTAATAAATAGCAATAAGACAAAACTTTAATAGGGCCCTGTTTGGCACTTATTAGCATATCATATAAGATATTAACTGTAGTAAAGAAAAATCAGGAAAACAACAAACGAAAGAAAATTTTAATAGGACCCTCCAGTTTTCTGAGCATTTTAAAATTCCTATTTGTTCTTCACAACAGTCCTGTGTGACCTATTTCATAACAATCTATGCACCATGGTCCATATGGTCATTAACTAATGGAAACTCAGCATTATAATACCTTTAATTATTCCTACTATTTTCCCAAGCCACAATCTGTTAAATTAACATGGTTTTAGAGCCATATCAATTCAATAAGCTACATATTCTCTTCATGGGTAATATGCAAAATAATTTATCCAAAATTATTAAATCAGCCTCATAACCTCTACTATTACTATATGTAATGAAGTTATGTATCTTGTAAGGGTGTGTCAAAATCAAATTATTTGAGATGCAAATTAACATTTTAGTTGAAAGTACTATTTACAAAGTATAGAACTCTGATAAGATTTTCTATTTCACTCAACTTTTTCTTAAATTTATACAAATATTAAGAAAATCATATCTGTGATTTAGCTATAAATATGTGCCTGCAAAACAGTATTAAACAAAATAAAGGATTCTGCAAATCTAAATATTCAGTCTCACAACTCAAAGCTAAAAAATATACCAAGAAAAAGGGAAAATTTACCTTTTCATTTCTTGTCTTCTTTTCATATTACAGCACAGAATATCTGCAGGATCTGATTTCTGAAAGAAAAAAGGCATTAGGAAATATAAATTATGAACTGAGAAAAGAGGTTGGGAGACAGTATTTTCCCACACCTGTATGTTAGTGAATACCTTAGAGACAGCCTGGGACCTGGGACCCTTTACTCTAACTGCTGCAACGCTTGCACCTGGACACACCTCTCCTCCAAGCAACAAAATAAAGAAACTATATATGAGACTAAAAATAACTGTGTGCATGCTCAGTTGGGGCAAATAATGGACAACAGATACAAAAAGACCAAAAAACTGCTACTCATGAAGAGCCAGGAGCAAAAAGCAGGGTACTGAGCATGCCCCCTGCAGTCACCACCACCAGAGGGTGGGCAAAACACCTCACCCTTCCAGCCCTAAGCCTGTGCACACCCCTAACTTCACCCCATATCACAAGCTAGAGCCAAGATGGCAGAGAGGGAAGGAGCCACAAACAGTGCACTTACCAGCTTCTGGTGGGGACCATGACACCCAGGCAGACAGGAGGAACCCCCGAGCAATGGGGTGGAACACAGTGGGGAGCGAGTTGGAAGAAGGAGAGGCTGGAAAGGACTGGTACCCTCCAGGAGAAGCTGGGGGAGAGGAGGGGTTCCCAGGCCTTGGGAGGCACACTTACCTCAAGGGGATCAGCGGGGATGGGGAGAGACCTTCAGAGGTCAGAAGATCAGGGGAATGCACCTGGAACCTACTCAACGCTGGGGAGCTTGCTGAGGCCAGGGGCCTGATCCTCTGTACTCTGGGGCCAGAGGCATTCCAGAGCCCCTCCAGGCCAGGCTAAGCTTAGGCAACCTGCACCCCACCCCCATCCAGGGCCTTTATCTGCAGAATGGGCCCTGAGCATAGGGCCCACCCCCACCTAAGCCCTGCCTGCCAACAGCCAAGACTTTTTCCAGCTTTTGTTCTCTTTTTTTTTCCTATTGCAGTTCTGTTTTACCTTCCAGTGGTTGTTTCACTTCTATTTTTATTTTTTCTAATACATGTTTTAGTTTTTAAAATTTCACTTTTTGTTGTTGTTCTTACTCTGTGTGGCTTGTAGGTTCTTGGTTCATGGGCCAGAGGACAGGCCTGAGCTTCTATGGTAGGAGGGCTGAGTCTGAACCACCAAACTAACAGAGAACCTCAGACTCCAAGGAATATTAATTTGAGTAAAGTCTCTTGGAAGTCCATATCTCAACACCAAGACACGTAGCTCTACCTAACTGCCTGCAAACTCCAGTGCTGGAAGTGAAGTGAAAGTCGCTCAGTCATATCCAACTCTTTGCGACTCCATGGACTGTAGCCCGCCAGGCTCCATGGGATTCTCCAGACAAGAATACCTGAGTGGGTAGCCATTCACTTCTTCAGGGATCTTCCCAACCCCGGGATCAAACCTGGGTCTCTTCCATTGTAGGCAGATTCTTTACCACTGAACCACCAGGGAAGCCCAAATCTCAGGTCAAACAACTTGGAAGACAGAAGCACAGTCCCACCCACCAAAAATATGTGACCCAAGTTACAAACAAAGAAGCACAATAAAAACCTACAAGACCAAACAAATGAAGAGGAAACAGACAACTTACCTGAAAAAAAAACTTATGATAGTAAAAATGATCCAAAAACTCAGAAACAGAATGGAGGCACTGGTCGAGAAAATATAGGAAATGTTTAACAAAGACTTAGATGAACTAAAGAACAAGCAAACAGAGATGAACACAATAGCTGAAATGAAAAATACACTAGAAGGAATCAATAGCAGAATAACTAAGGCAGAAGAATGAAAAAGTGAAATGGAAGACAGAATGTGGAAATAACAGCCAAGGAACAGGATTTAAAAAAAAAAAAGAATGAAAAAAATTAAAGACAGACCCAGAGAACTCTGCAACAACACTAAATACACTAACATTCAAAATACTGAGTCCTAGAAGAAGAAGGGAAAAGAAATGGTCTGAGAAAATATTCAAAGAGATTATAGTCAGAACCTCTCCTAACATGGGAAAAGAGATAGCTACCCAAGTCTGGGAAGTATAAAGAGACCCATGCAGGATAAACCCTACGAGAAACACACCAAGACACATATTAACCACAAAATCAAACACAAAGAAAAAAATATTAAAAACAGCATGGAAAAAAAATACTAAAAACAGAAAAAAAGTGACATACAAGGGAATTCTCATAAGGCTCTCAGTTGATTTTTCAGCAGAAACTCTCCAGGCCAGGTCGAAGTGGCAGGATACTGTTACAGTGATGAAAGAAAACAATCTACAACCAAGATTACAGCCAGCAAGGATCTCATTCAGATTCAGTGGAGAAATTAAAAGCTTCATAGACAAGCAAAAGCTAAGAGAATTCAGCACCACTAAAGCCAGCCTTACTTACTCAAGGATTTTAGCCTTCTGATTAAGTTAGTGTCCTTGGCTCAATGGTAAAGAATCTGCCTGCCAATGCAAGAGATGCAGGTTCAATACCTGGGTCAGGAAGATCCCCTGGAGAAGGAAATGGCAACCTACTCCAGTATTCTTGCCTGGGAAATACCATGGAGAGTGGAGCCTGGCAGGCTACAATCCATGGGGTCACAAGAGTCGGACTCGACTTAGGGACTAAATAAAGCCAACCTACAAAAGATGCTAAAGGCAATTCCCTAGGCAGGAAACAAAAGAAAAGACGACCCACAAAAGCAAACCCAAAACAACTGCTACCCACTCCAGCATTCTTGCCTGGAGAATCCCCATGGACAGAGGAGCCTGGTGGGTTACAGTCTATGAGGTCGCAAAAGGTCAGACAGGACTGAGCAACTAAGCACAGCACAGCACCATTTACAACAGCCAGGACACAGAAGCAACCCAGACGTCTATCAACAGAAGAACAGGTAAAGAAGACATGGTACATATACACAATGGAATATTACTCAGCCATAGAAAGGAATTAGATTGAGTCATATGCAGTGATACGGATGAAGCTAGAATCTGTCAAACATGGTAAAGTAAATCAGAAAGAGAAAAACAAATATTGTACACCAATGCATATATATGGAATCTAGAAAAATGGTATTGATGACCCTATCTGCAGGGCAGGAATAGAGATGCAGACGCAGAGCAAGGACTTAAGGACACAGTGGGGAAGGACAGGGTGGGGCACACTGAGAGTAACACTGATGTATATACACACTACCATATGTAATGGCAGAAAGTGAAGAAGAACTAAACAGCCTCTTGATGAAAGTGAAAGAGGAGAGTGAAAAAGCTGGGTTAAAGCTCAACATTCAGAAAACTAAGATCATGGCATCTGGTCCTATCACTTCATGGCAAATAGATGGGCAAACAGTGGAAACAGTGGCTGACTTTATTTTTGGGGGCTCCAAAATCACTGCAGATGGTGACTGCAGCCATGAAGTAAAAAGACACTCCTTGGAAGGAAAGTTATGACCAACCTGGACAGCATATTAAAAAGCAGAGACATTACTTTGCCAACAAAGGTCCGTCTAGTTAAGGCTATGCTTTTTCCAGTGGTCATGTATGGATGTGAGAGGTGGACTGTGAAGAAGGCTGAGCACCGAAGAATTGACGCTTTTGAACTGTGGTGTTGGAGAAGACTCTTGAGAGTCCCTTGGACTGCAAGGAGATCCAACCAGTCCATCCTAAAGGAAATCAGTCCTGAACGTTCATTGGAAGGACTGACATTGAAGTTCAAACTCCAATACTTTGGCCACCTGATGCGAAGAGCTGACTCACTTGAAAATACTGGGAAAGACTGAAGGCAGGAGGAGAAGGGGACGAGAGAGGATGAAATGGTTGGATGGCATCACCAACTCAATAGACATGAGTCTAAATAAACTCCGGAAGTTAGTGACGGACAGGGAGGCCTGGCGTGCTGCGATTCATGGGGTCACAAAGAGTCGGACACGACTGAGTGACTGAACTGAATTGAACTGAACCATATATAAAACAGATATCTAGTGGGAGGCTGCTATATAGTACGGGGAACTCAACTCCATGCATGCTCTGTGATGACCTAGAGGGGTGGGATCGGGGGTGGGGTGGGAGGGAGGCTAAAGAGGGAGGGGATATATGTATACATATACCTGATTCATGTTGTTATACAGCAGAAACTAATACAACATTGTAAAGCAATTTTACTTCAATTTTTAAAAAATATATTTAAAAAAGAAACAAGGCAGCTCCCACCTCAGTGAGTGAGAAAGCAAAGGAAACTGTTCCTTGATCTCACTCTCCCCATTGCAGCAGGCACCCCAATGAAATCTTACTTGAACTTCTCATCTGGCATTTGATCACTTTTTATTGACTATGGGCAGGCCAAGAACTCTGGTCGGTATCAGGTTGACACAATAATTTTCTTAATCCTTGCAATAATCTCGTGAGACAGATAATATTAGTATCTCATTTTACAGACAAAGCACCCAAGGCTCAAATAGAGCAAAATATCCTCAACATTACAGAGCAAGTTAATCGCAGAGCCATGATCTGAAACCAGATTTCTCTTTCTATTCTACCACCCTCTCTCTCTAGGGGCAGAGGGCTAGACACAATAAAAATAACAGAGAAAGAGGATATAGTCCCTGTCCTAAAGAACTCAGAGTAAAGCAGTCTCTGTTCTAAAGAACTCAGAGTAAAGCAAAAGGATAAAGTAGAAAGAAGTAGAAGGATATATAGAATAAACAATAAAATAAAGCAGAACAATAAACAGTAAGTTGTAAGAGTTTAAAGGATCAAAACCCAAAAGTTGGGATGTACCAAGGAAAAAAAGTAGGCCAAAAATACGCTAAAGATTGAGCATACATTGAATAAAGATGAATGGGTAAAAGAAAAAGGCATTCTTCATTAAAAATGCTTAGGCAGTCTAAGAAGCTGGAGATGACTGGTGTAAATTCAGCTGAGAGAAAATAAACCAGCCTACCTAGAAGGGCTGTTTTGAGGAAGAAGAAAAATGAAAACTGGATACTTAAGGGATGACCAAATTTAAAAGGGTCTTGACTCTTTGTGACCCCATGGACTATACAGTCCATGGAATTCTCCAAGCCAGAATACTGGAGTGGGTAGGTGTTCCTTTTTCCAGGGGATCTTCCCAAACCAGGGATCAAACTCAGGTCTCCCACACTGCAGGCAGATTCTTACCAGCTGAGTCACCAGGGAAACCCAAATGATAAACTAAAAAAGTAAGTGAAGATTTTTCAACAGAGGAGAAATATGGTGAAATCAGTGTTTTAAGAAGGTTAATACAGCAAGAATTGCAACAGCAGTTCCATTATGTGAAAACAAACTCTTAAAAACCAAAATCTGCTTTCATGGAACTTTGACTATTTTCTCTTGTTACCTACAACAACTGTGCAGTAATCTTCATACACTCCTAACTCTTCACTTGAACATGGTGAGCACCTCGCAACCATCCATGTACCAGGTTGATGTGTTTAGTCTGCTGTCACTGTTTCATATTATTTGGCAGACAGTGGAAAAAAACCTGGACTTCACTTTGTTGCTGCAAACAATTTTGTGTCCTTTCACAAGTCACTTAACTTTCTGGATCTCAATTTCTGAATCTGAAAATGCAAACAATATCTCTGCCCTGGTGACTTCAAAATGAAATTGTAAAGACAAATTTAACCATATACAGGAAAAGACTTAAAAATTGTCTAAATTTATATTCATGTTGTCTAATCCCATGATAGGATCTAATCACACACAAAGAAAGAATTTGATAAATGCTTTTTGGTGAGTAGCAGGAAAAAGTTGGTTTTCCATCTATCAGCTATCAAAAAGTAAGTATAATATCAAGAAAAAATTAATGGAAAAGTAGTAGGGGAATTTATCTCATAAAGCTTTTAATTGTACATTAAAACTTTAATATCATTTTTAGAGTTAGTTACAGTATCTAAATACTCACCAGTTTTCTCTTCTCCGACGACACTGATCTTATAGAGCAAGTTGAACTAGTAGAACTTACTGATGGTTTTTTCTCTCTCTTATCCTAAGAATGTCATTTGGAAAAAAGGAAAGAAAAGCACAAAATAAAGTCCAGTGTAAGAGAGCATTCTTTTATCAATGTTTTTATAAATCAAGATTGCTTCTACATTAATAAGAAGTTTCAGAGGAGAACACTATTTATTTATTTAGCTGCATTGGGTCTTTATTGCTGCGCATAGGCTTTCTCTAGTGCGGAGAGCAGGGACTATTCTCTAGTTGCGGTAGGAGAGCCTTCTCATGCAGGGGCTTCTCCTGTTGCAGAGAACAGGCTCTAGGTGTGAGGGCTTCAGTGGCTGCAACACCCAGGCCCAGCAGTTGTGGTGCACAGGCAGCAGTTATGGCTCTCAGGCTCTGGAGCAAGTGGGATCAGTAGCTGCAGCTTACAGGCTTAGTTGCTCTTTGGCATGTTGAATCTTCCCGAACCAGGGATTGGAACCGTGTCCCCTCCATTGGCAGTTGGGTTCTTATCCACCGTACCACCGGGGAAGTCCGGAACAATGTTTAAAGGCATACAAACATTGGTAAGAGGAAAGGAGACTTAACTAGAAATCAGAAGATCTAAGTGCTCTAGGAATGAGATGGGATAGAAGTGGGCTTCTCTGGTAGCTCACACGTTAAAGAATCTGCTTGCAATGCAGGAGACCTGGGTTCAATCCCTGAGTCAGGAAGATCCCTTGAAGAAGGGAATGGCTACCAACTCCAGTATTCTTGCCTGGAGAATTACACAGACAGAGGAGGCTGGCGGGCTACAGTCCATGGAGCTGCAAGAGTCGGATGTGACTAAGTGACTAACGCTTTCACTTTTTCACTTTCACCTGGGATAGAGGCAATATAGCAGAAAGTTACAGACAGCTCAAATAAGGACATTGGGAAGTGGTACTGCCATAGTGATACTTAAAGCAAAACCATATACCCACTTATTTTTTCAGTGGATCCTGAATTCAACAGACCCAAGACAAATGTACTTCAAGTAGCTACCGTGTATCAAAGACATTTTTCTAGACAGTGAGAACAGGTTAGTGAAAAAACAATGAAAGTCCCTGCTGTCACAGAGGTTACACCTACTGCAGGTTTAACTTACAAGTAAGTAAGTGATATAGTGTGTCAGATGATGCTATTAAAAAATAATAACAGAGCAGAGAAAGGGGTCAGGAAGGGCTGGGAGGCAAGGGTGAGGCTGTTGCAATTTTAAACAAAGTAGTCAAAATGGGTCCCCACTGGTAATTGGACATCTGAGCAGAGACCTAATGAAACGAAGGAACAAACCCTGTGAGTATCTAGGGAAAGTTTTCAAGTTAAAGGGAGTAACAGCAAGCACAAAGCAGGAATGTGCCTGGCTTACTGAAGAAACAACAAGGAAGCCAAGGAGTGGAGAAAGCAAAGGGAGAATGAGATGGAGATGAGATGGTGACAGTAATGTGTTTCCTGTCCCAGCAAGGACATTAGCTTTTTCTCTAAAGTGGAAAATCACTAGAAAATATTGAGCAGAAGAGTGACATGATTCAACATTTTAACAGGATCACTCTGCCTGTTATGTTGAGAACACAAGAAGGCAAAGGTAGAAAGCAAGCTGTTTGCCTGGATCATGGTGATAGCAGTGGGAGTGGTAGTCACACTCAGCTGACAGAATTTGCTGATAGATGGGATGCAGGCAGAGCATGATGACCAGGGTTTTGGTCAAAGCAACTTAAAGAATGTAACTGCAACTGACCACATTAAGAAAACTGAGGCTGGGCACTTATAAGAATATAGTTTAAGAGGAGAAAGAGCCAAAAAGGATACTGCCAAGCCTCAGTTTCTTCATTTGTATAATTGGGATAATTATAGTACCTACCTCATAGAGTTGAGAGGAATAAATAAAATAACGTAAGTAAAGAAAAACAAATGTAAGTAAAGTTCCTTCTGACTCTTTCTCCGTCAGAAGAACAAAATATTTACATAACTTGTTTTAAAACTGAGGTGTATTTTTTTCATCATACAAAAATAAAACTGTAAAACAGGGTATCTTTAGGTCAATAAGTCAAAATTCTTACTTCATTAATATTGGATGATGGGGTGGTGCCTTTTCTCCGAGATTTCTCCTTTTTTCCACAAGATTCTTTGTTGGACATTTTGCAAAGCTAAAATAAACATCAAAAACACATTATGTGTGTGGGTTTTTTTTTTTTAAACCATTGCTATAACAAAAACATTAGAAATCATACTTTTTTCAGTTTCTTAAAGATTGGAGTTTTATAAAATAATTTTTGTATTTTACCCATTCTCAACATGATAGGATTGTCTCATTGTTCCACTTTACTTATATTCTGCCTCATGATCTGTTCCCTTCCATCAGTGTGGGGATGGTCACCTTTTAAGAAAGACTCTCAAAAGTATGCCTTTAAGGCAAACTTCCCTTTTCATCGTATTCCCATTTTCAATTGCCTACAGGACTATTATATTTTGCCCCACCCACACCTCAAAACCAATTAGTGATTAAGTCTTCCTTTTCTCAACACACCCTCCATCTCTCACTGAGTGAGACGTTGGGCAAAACACACACATTTTCTGAGTCCTAGCTCCACTATATGTAAAATAGAGATAACTCATCCGAGAGGGTGTTTTAAAAATTCAAATGAAACTATGGATGTAAAAGTACCTTGTACAAGATAGTACACAGTAGAGTCTAAAAAAATACTGGCTTCAGCAACTGTCTTTCTGCTAGACACTGAGCTTCTTGAAGAGTACACGGTATTGAAAATTTAGGAGGTGTTCATAAATGCCTTCTGAGTAAATGAGTAGGTGAATTTTTCTTTCCCAGAATAGTGATTGTTCATTCTGAGTCACTTCCAACTCTTGCTCATTGCAGCCCCTCTATCCATTTCTGATCCCAGTCTCCCTTTTCTAGTCCAGGTCTGGATCAAGTCTGTACTGCTGTTACTGACAAAAAGAAAAAGAAAGAAAGAAAACTACACACAGTCATCCCCAAAGGTTATAAGCACTTCAAAGATAGTATATATAATCAGCCTATACTGGAACACAGAGGTCAGAGATTGGGAACATCACCAGATTTGCTGAGGCAAGAAGATATAAAGGGGTCCGTCCACAAGCAAAGTCCAAAGGAGAGTTTATTGCTGCTAGTGATATGTATAGCACTTCCATGTGACACAGAGACGGTAAAGAATGAGCCTGCAATGCAGGAGACCAGAGTTCGATCCCTGGGTCAGGAGGATCCCCTGGAGAGGGAATGGCAACTCACTCTAGTATTCCTGCCTGATAATCCCATGGAAAGAGGAGTCTGGCAGGCTATAGTCCATGGGGTCGCAAAGAGTCAGACACGACTGAACAAGTAACACACACACACACACACACACACACAGAGTGATAAGTATTGATGCTAAGAACATAACAGACTAGAAACCAAGCAATTACAAGTACTCCTGGTCAAATATGATCACAGTAAGTGAAGTTCTATAAAAGAATGATCAATTACACTAAATCAAACTTGTAGAATGTTTTGAAGAATACGGAAGAAGGAAAATACTGAGACTAGAAATCTAATAATAATAAATAAAAATTAATAGTCAACATATACTTCTAAGGACAGATTCTAAATTACCCAGAAATTTTGCCTTTTAAGATAATTCATGGCAACAATTAAATTCACAGTTAAGCTTCCAGATTACAGGAATAATCTTCACTTTTCTTTCTTGTTCCAAGGATCCCATTCCATGGGGAGAAAGGTATAATGAAAAACAATAACTTTCATGAAATAAATTGCTTAGAGGCAATGGGCTGGTTATTTTACCTTTTACAATTTAAACCCTTTCATGTTGTGCTTTGAACACACACATACACACACAAAACCAATTTGAATCTATTATCCCTAAGACAATCAGAAAAAAAAATACTGCAGAGAGTAGACTATCAAAAGAAAAACACCTATATATGTACTGTGACAATGTTTTACATTAGTGTACCATTCATATCAATTTTATGGAAATCAAAATATAAACTAAATGAGTGGAGATTTCCTGTGCTGGCCTGCTTCCCAATTGGCTCCTGATCTCTGCTGCCACCATCTCTTATGAAGTTCCCTCTCACAATTAAGTAGAGATGACCTGTGTAACCAACAGGATATATTTATATAATATGTGGCTAGGTCAAATAACACACTGCGGCTTCCGCCTTTCTCTGTCTTGAATTGTTCACCCTAGAAAAAGCCAGCCACCATATCACGAAGACATTCAAGTAACCCTAGGAAAAGCCCACCAAGGAAGAGCTGAAACCTTTTGCCAAAAATGAATGGACTTACAGGCACGTGAGTGGGCCACCCTTGAAGCTGATCCTGCAGCCTTAATCAAGCATCCACTAGGCAGCATCTCTTGCAAATATCTCACTGCAATGTTATGAGACACCCAAAGGCAGATACACCCAGAAAGCCATTTCTGAATTCCTGACCCATATCCACTGTGGGGTAAGAAGTGTATTGGTTGTCTTAAGCCATAAAGTTTTGAACAACTTACACAGCAATAGATGAGTAATATACTCAATATAATTTTTCAAATTTTGAAGATGCCTTCTTTAGGATGGCTCAAGAGCAGGGACTGTGCTTGGGAATTCTGATTAAAATTTCCACAGAATACACAGACTAAAAATCTAACCCTTTTCATCTTCTGGTTTTCAGCTGGTATTAATGAAATTGACATCCTAATTAACCAACCATTCTTTCACAAATTAAAACATCACTGGTTCCTAGATGATGCATAAATATCCACTACTCATGCCTGCAAACTATAATGTTATTATCCCATTTTTAATTAACTGTTAATTAAAGGCAGTATATACATCCAGGAATACTAGTTAGAAGTTGTGGATGGGGCCACTAAGAGGGCTTTAGAATCACAATTCACAAAAACTTCCACGGGATAAATTGTTTAACTGGGGAGGAGAGGAGGGGAAAACCCCTCCACATATACTTTCTAAGTACTGGGAGGGAGGACCACATTCCTGTTTTGAGTTTCGAAGTGCCAAAAAATTCACACTCGCTCTCCTCTGGGTACTGAAAACAAACAGAAAATAAACAGACCAAGAAGAAAACCATTAAGTATCGCCTTTATTAACTAGGAAAACCGAAAGGAAAAGTGCGAATACCTGAGACTAAAAGAAGATTCTCTCTCCCTTCTTGCTTCCTGTAACATTCGGACCAGTGTAGGCAGAGCAGTCAGAAAACAAGGTTTTATTCCTCTTGCCTCCCGCAGTGGGCTTGAAGGAGCGCGCCTTAAACTCAAGCAGGCTCGGAGAGTAACGAGAAGTACGGAGGCCTGCAAACTTAACAGACGCCTTGAGGAACCTGAATCGCATCAGTCAAGTGCCCTGAAGCTCCACATATTCAGGAGCTTTGGATATTAAAAGCCTAAATGTAAGCATAGTCTTCTCCCGACTCCTGGGCCCCCGCAATTCACCATCCACAGGAATCTTACAGCCACAGGGCGGCGCTGCTATGGGGAATACGTAGGTTAAAACTAAATTAAAAGGAAAAGAGTGTTCAGATCATGGTGTTGGTGAAAGCGCGAAACGAAGAGCAGACCCCCAACTCGAAGTCCACCTGACTGACAGGCGGCCCAGAAACCGCGGACTCAGGTAGAAACACACCACACCCAACCCGGGACGAGAGGCAGCCCGGAAGGCAGAGCCGGGCCAGGACCACACCCTTCACAGAGCAGGCTCAACCCCGGGTCCGCCCACAGAGTCGCCCCGCCCAGGCTCGAGAGGCCCCCGAATCCTCCGTCCGTCCCGCCGGCTGCCCTCTTTCAGTCCCGGAGTGAGGCAGGGAGAGTACCCACCGAAACGTCAACTAACCCCTCGGCTTCCCTACGTTACTTACCAGAGCCCGCGCCGGTTGCGATTTGGGACGCCCAAACCACGGGTAAGGGACTCCGAGAGCGATGCCCGCTGGGAAATGTAGTCCTGCGCTCCGATGGTAGCTAGCGCTCGAAAGCTCTGGAGCGTTTGTTTAGCTTTGCCTTTACTTCCTCCGAGGCCTCGGGACCACCCACCGCCCCGCTCCGCCCTGTGCGGCGCGGTGCACGCTGGGTATTGTAGTTTTGGTTGGGTTCGGTGGTTGACGGCTAGAACGGAGACGTGCCGTGGAAACGGAACTCTCTGACCTCATTGGACGCCGTCCTCCAGCATGCTCCTGCGCAGTCGGGGCTGGCGTCGTAACGCCTCGGGGAAAAGGAAGCGTACGGGGCCGCGAGTCGCTGCCTGTGGCTTTTAATTTTTCTGCTGACTGGATTTGGTCACTGATTCTTCATCTTTTGTCTGTTGCACGCATCTCGCCCTCCCCATTTGCTTCCCCACTTCTCGGATCCGGCCCTGTGGGCTTTCACGCCAGTTCTCTCACTCCGCCGTGAGCCCCTGCTGGTCCCCGGGCGGGCCTGGCAAGGAGGCGGTAACTATGGAGAATATGGCGGAGGAGGAGCTGCTGCCCCAGGAGAAGGTGGAGGTGGCCCAGGTCCCGGTCCCGACCCCGACCCCGGACTCGGCTCGGGTCCCAGCTCCGGCCCCGGATTCGGCTCCGGTCTCGGCCTCGACCCCGGCCCCTGCCTCGGCTCCGACTCCGGCCTCGGCTCCAGTCCCAGCCCCTGCCCTGGCCCAGGCTCCGGCCCTGTCCCCGTCCCTAGCCTCTGCCCCTGATGAGGCTGAAAGCAGTAAGTTCAGGGAGGCCCAGATCTTTCTGCCGCAGGAGAAGCAAGAAAATGCGCCTTGCTGGGGAGTAGGGGAGGCCCTTCTTCACTGGGATGGTTTTTAAGGGGGAGAAGGCAGTTTTAGCGAGATGGGGGAGGAACGAGGGACCCGTATAGCGGTAAAAACGGGTACAGGGCGGGGGACGGCATCTCCACAAACCTCGGGGATCTCACAGGGTAGGATCTGTGGAGGCCAGTGGTGCTGCAGGTGGAAGGAAATAATGGGATCGTGAACGTCTTCGTTAAAGGGGGTCTTTTTCTGTTACAGAAATTAGAAGTTACACCTCATTTGGTAGTTTCCCTCTTAGCCCCGTCTGCCATATTTCCCTGTGTCCTTTAAAATAAGAGAGTAACCGAGTTTACTGTAGTAGATGCTAACTGCCAAGATTTAGAAACCGTTGCTGTCAATTAGGTTTTATGTCTCGAAATAGACACGAGATGGGGTTTTTCTCATTTTTTCGTTAGCAGCTTGCCTCCAAAAAGAATTTGAGGCTGACGAGTAGTTTTAAGATAGTGACTAAATTATAGATGTTTTCCCTCAGACGTAAATACCCATCGAGTTTTGTACGTTTCTCCAAGTCGGCTGTCGAAAATTAATAGCCTGTATTAACTGTGCTTGCATGTTTTATAAGTGATGGTTTATTGGACCATAAAGGAATTTAAAAGATTGATAAGTAACACTTCATTAAGAATCGTCTGAACATTTTTAAACGTAAGCTGAGAAACTCTTCTTTAGAAATTTTGTCCCCAAATTGACCTTTATGCTTTTTCTGAATCATAACAACAACAACAAATCTTAATTTGTTGTCTTTCCTACTTCTAAGCCAGTTTTGAGGTTAATGTTTAAAAAACATTTGGATAGTTATAATCTAATAGAATTACTTATGTAATTTTTAAACAACATACAGATTGCTATAGTAAAGAGTAGGGTGGGTCACAGAAAAAAACAAAGGTCAGAATGCCTCTTGTAGGCCTCTCCTCATCACAGGAGATCAAAGCTAGTAAAGTGCTAAATAAGGTCAGTTGTTTCTTCTGCAACTGCAATGGGGGAAGAGCAGGTACACTCCAGAGTAAGGTATCCTCCTTAACTCACCTCTAGATGTGGTCTTTTTATGTTAATCGGATGTGATTGAGCAGCTTTAGGGGATGTATGCTTTCTCCACCTCCCTACCATCATGAATACATTAAACACAGTTTGGGAAGATTTATTCATATATTCCAAATTTTATGAGTATTTAATTTGAAGAATGTGTGATGTTTGAAAAACCTGAAAATGCATTTCTGGAACAAATAGTGATTAAGAAATTGGAAATGCATTAGAAACACATTAATCACATTTTAAAAATTATTTTTAGATGGTCTAGTTAGCCCTTTGAAATCAGTATCATATAGGCAAGATGAAGATGGCATATCTGAAGTAGAATTGAAAATTGAGGAAGAAAAAGAAGTTTTTAAAGAACCGCCTAGCATCTTGGAATCATCTGATTTAATAAGAGGTTTGCCTATTGACTTCTAGATTACTAGTGTGTTACAAAAAGATCGAGTGATTTTAAGTACAGATTGATATCTACTGTCTTGAACCAGAAAGTGACTTTAGAGATGTACATAGGCATTTTCATGAATCTCTTGGACAGATCTTTAGAGTTTTCTTCAGTAGTGGACTACAGGATTTTCAGTTTTCTAACTTACCGGGCCCCCTTTACTTACTCTGTAGTATTAGTAGTTAGAATGATTGCAATAAACACATCATTAGTAGTACTGTGTATTTTGTTTCACACACACAGATCTTTGAAGTATGGAAGCCAATGATTTCAAATTAAATAGGTTGGTTTGTACATACAGACTCATTGCCTGAATCTTACTGTCTGACCCAGTAATAAAAGACTTTTGATCAAATGGGAAAACAGTTTATCTGTTTATAGAAACTGTCTCATTGTAAGTCATTTGAACAATACCTGATATAAGAAATTAACCAATAACATTTGTCGCTGTTTGTGTTTCTCATTTTGGAATTAGGTAAAAATATATTTTAATAAATTTTAACAGGAATGTCTGATAAGGGCTGAATTGAATTCCAAAATTTTGAGTCAGTGTGCTACTGCACCCAAAGAGACTAGTGATTTTTTTTTTTTAATTTAATTTAAAACTAGTGCCTGCTGTGTGCAAGTTACTGCACTGGGCATTTAACCATTCCAGAGATGAATAAAGATGTAGCCCTTGACTTCTTACTGCCTATTTGTAGATGAGACAAACAAGAAGGTAAATTGTATGGAAGGGAAACAGAGCAACTGGGAGTGAAGCTTGGAGAAGAATAGGCAGGAAGACAGCAGCGTGGAGAAATTATATAATCTAATTATATAATATTAAAGAGTCCTGTGGTTTATCCCATTGACTCCTAACTCATTGAAGATCTTTTCCTATCAGTTACCATCTCTTGAGTCTTATATATTCAGAATTCTACTTTGTTAACATTTCTTTCCATAGGGCTACAATATTCAGGTCTCTCTATGCATAAAAAGAAAGAAGCAAGTTAAAATCCCATCTCTTTTTTTATTTTAATGCTAGCAGACTTCTTGAAAAAAGTAATCTATGCTGATTTTCTGTACTCCATTTCTCTTTCCAGTTCTATTTGTACTCTAAAAACACCTCATTGAACCTTCTTAAAGGTCACTAGAAACTTCCTAAATACTAAATCCAGTAGTCTTTTCTTGATCTCTACAACTATTTGTGATACTTAGTGTTAAGCACTACTCTTTTACAGTCCCTTCTCTCCTGGCTTCTGCATTATCTTGATTCTCCATACCATTTTTTCTTTTTGAAGCTACCCTCTTGATTCCTTTTCCTCAACGTCTCCTATACATCTATTCATCCCTCCATACCTCACTTCAAAATTGTATCCATTTTTGTTAATCGGTAGTGGGTTAAGCAGTATTGGGGAATGCATCCCACATACTACTAGTCAAGCATATGTTAAATATATTTTGGAATGATTTATTCATTTATTCCAAAATTTACAAATACGTAATTTGAAGAATAGTGTAATATTTGAATAACCTGAAAATGTGTTATTGGGACTGAGTTTTGGCTTTTTTATCCTCGGTTTCAAAACATTTCCCCCTAGGCTTTCTTACTGATGCTCTTAGTTTCACCTAACATGCGTATTTATGAGTTACATCTATTCAGAATCCCTCCTGACCTTCCACTACAATTCAACTGCCTACTGGACTTGAGTACCTAATTCCAGTAGTAATCAAACACACTGTGTAAAAAATTAAATTCCCATTCTCTTTCCTCTTCCTTTCTGCCAAAACTGTTTTCTGCTTCCTTTTTATTGGTTAATAGTGCTTGTATCAAAATCTCAATTTTTCTTTAATCTTCACCCTTTCACATCCCAAGTCCTCTGCTGCTTTTTTTTTTACCTTCTATTTTCTAGTACCTTTCCATTACTAATTTCTCACCTCAATTATTGATCATTGGTACTACAACTAGAGATTCTGAAATGCATTCAAATCATATCATTTATTTACTCAAAAACCTGAAAAGACTTAACATTACCTAAAGAATATAGTCCAAACTAACTTATATACAATTTATGCCTCCCATGATCTGTACTACATTTTTGGCTTCATTATCTTTCCACCAGCTCTATCCCCCAAACATACTACTCTCCAGCCAGGAGTGGTAGAGAAGTGGCTGTATATTTTACACCACATGCCTGTTTATTTCAGTTACAAGGTTATTTCAGTTTATAAGGCCAGACACCAAATCTCTACTTACTGAAAATCTGTTTATATCTTAAGTCTTGATCAAACGCCACTTCAGTGAAGGCTTCTTAGAGGCACTTGTTGGAATGAGTTATTCCTTCCTTTGTATACCCACATTATATTTACCTTTACCCCTAAGCGTTCATTCATCTTGCCTTGTGTTACCGTTAGTAGTTAACATGTTTATCTCTCACCCGATTGAAAGTTCTTTGAAAACAGGAAACCTGGCTTCAGTGTTTTATACAGACTAGAAACATTTTCTGTAAAACTATATTGAATAATAAGATAAAATTTGGAAGCTGTGAGGTTATACAGTGGCAACTCTTTGACTTCTGAGACACACTTGTCATTTTGTAAACTGAGTTTTCTGCCTAGGTACTAAGGCACTGTGCTATAGGAAATGAAAGCGTAAAATTCTGTGTGATGTGATAAAATGAAACTGAAGATGGAATAGTATTGTTAAAGCATGATTTTCTAACTCTTAAACTTGCCTTTCAGAGAGACACATCTCAATTCAAAGGCAGCTTGCTGATTTAGAGAAGTTAGCTCTCGTAACTGAAGGGGATTGTGACTCTGCCAATTCACTGAACTCAGATAATCTCGATGCAGGTATTTCCGTCTTTGGAGGGTTTCTGGTTTTTTGTTTTTTGGTCAGTTTCTAATGATGTGTCACCTTTCCACTCATGAAAATTTTGGTAAGCATGAACTTGTTTATTTCCACCAAATTAGGGCAGAAGTAAGATAATGTTTTTTAACTTAGGAAATGGTACCCTTCTATATGTAAGGGCGCTGTGAGATAAGTTATTTCACAACCCCTCAGGGAAATTACAGTCTCATGGATATATAAGGGCTTTGTTAGGAATTAACGTTTTACTATAGTAACAGAAATCCAAAAAAATCGTATGGAGGCTTTTATTCTCTCATAAGAAAGAAATCTCACGACTGGCAAAGTAGAACTGGTACAGTTTCACAGTGTTGTTAGTGCCCTGAGCTCCTGTCATTCTACTTTACCATCCTTAGTGCTTGGATTCCATCCTCAAGATCTCCTCATGGTTTTTTGTTTTTTTTTTTCTTTTTGGCTTTTTTTTTTTCTTTTTTTTCCCATTTATTTTTATTAGTTGGAGGCTAATTACTTTATCTTCATTTTTTTTGAAGTAGAGACTATATTTTAAAAATTGTGCTTATACTTACAGTGTGCTATATGTGAAAGATATTTGCTGGATTAAAAATTGAGTTATTGGGACTTCCCTGGTGGTCCAGTGGCTAGGACTGCGTGTTTCTAATGCAGGGGGGCATGGGTTGGATTCCTGGTCAGGGAACTAAGATCCCACATGCCACACAGAATGATCAAAACAAAAACACCCTGGTACAGTCAAAATTTTTTTTTTAAACTTGAGTTACTGTTTCTGTATATTTCATTGATTTAAACCTGAATTTGAGATTTTTTTTAGTACTATTAAAGCTTTTATTAGATACATTACATTTCTAATTAAATGAAACTTCTATTCTGATGATCCATAATCTTTTTAAGAATATGTTAATAAAGAAGGAAGAATTAACAAATTCAGTAATAGGATGTGTGCTGTGTGCTTAATCAGTCATGTACGACTTTTTGTGATCCCATGGACTGGAGCCTGCCAGGCTCCTCTGTCCATGGGATTCTCTAGGCAAGAATACTGGAATGGGTTGCCAGGCCCTCCTCCAGGAATCTTCCCGACCCAGGGATCAAACCCACATCTCCCACCTTGCAGGTGATTCTTCACCGCCTAAGCCACCAGGGAAGCCCAAAGCCACTGTAATAGGCTACAGAGGTTGTAATGCCGACTCCAGTCTCAGAATAGCAGCAATATCACATCCAATCTACCCCTTCCTCCTTTTAATTTTTCTAATTCCACATGTTAACCGTTTTTGTTGCTACTCGAGTAGAATACCAGAACTGATACTTTTGTCTGTCTAGCTCCTGTCCCTCTGCAAGTGTGACAACTGCCTTTTCCCCTGCCCAAAGTGCAGAATGACACTCTTTCTGGAAGGCATTTTGCCTGGGGGGATGTCATGTAGTTTATCATTTCCTCATCCTCTCCATACCCAGTAGCAACAGAGATATCAGCTCTACACAGATAGGAGAGTTTTGGGGTAAAAATCAGTCACTGACCATGTCCTAAAACAATTACTGTTAAGTACCTGCTGAGGCAAGAATGACTTCACTATAATAAATGTTAAGAAAGATGTTATCTAAGGGGGGTGTGTGTGTTTGCATGTATGTATGTGTTTTGAGAGGCAAGGGTGAGAAAGGGTCCCCTGTTAACTTCTTTTGTAGCCAAATTTAAGCATGAATAGCTGGTATATTCTCTGCTTTATTGGTTCTTTTTTCATTAACAGGAAACAAACAGGCTTGTCCACTGTGCCCCAAGGAGAAATTCAGAGCTTGTAATAGTCATAAGCTTCATCGTCACCTTCAGAATTTACACTGGAAAGTCTCCGTGGAATTTGAAGGTTTGTATTTTTGTGTTTACGAAAAAGTGATGTAAATGAAATTCAGGATTTGGTACTAGTTTTGGAATTTTACTGACAACATAATCAAGTATCTTCAGTTTAAAATTATGAAGGATTTAATGCCCCTCTTTTAATGTATTTATTAATAAAAGACCACATAGTTCTCTAGGCAATAGATATTTATGACACCTGTAGTTTAGTTTGAAAAACAATTATGAAGCATCTGTTCTGTGCTGGAACTTGGCTTGGTCCTGAAGTTCCACATTACTTACTGAACCATGTTTTCATAAGTTTTACTTTTCCTTTTTTTATTAGAGCAACTACAGTTTTTATTAACTACGATTAACTCCAGTAATAGTTTTGAAGGTATAATAAATGTAATAAAACAAGAAAATAATTGGTATGAATATTGGAAAAGAGAAGATAACATCTCTTTTTTTCCCTGCTGCTGACTTAAACAGAGTTAATGAGAGTTTTTGGAATAATGGTGAGATAAAAGATAAATATTCAAAATCAGAGACTTTCTCTACTCTGGATAAATGGAAATGAGGGAAAAAACAGTTATAACAGTGACAGAAATGGCACAATTTGAGGGAGTAGTTTAACAAGAGGATTCAAATGAAGAAATGAATGAAGTTGAAGGACAAAAAAACATGATTTTACAAAGTTAAAAGACTGCCTAGGGAGAGTGATTTATTGTTAGATTCTGAGGTAGTGAATTATGGATTATACGTGTTTAGTTACTCAGTCATGTCCAACTCTTTGCGACCCCATGGACTGTAGCCCACCAGGCTCCTCGGTCCATGGGATTTCCCAGGCAAGAATACTGGAGTGGGTTGCCATTTCCTTCTCCAGTGGATGATATATTAAAGCCTTTTTTTAGAAAGAAATTTGGCAACATTTAAAAAATTTTAAATATTTTTCCACCAGGCACTCCCTCTGCTAAGAGTAAAGGAAGCAATAGACAAAGATGTACAAGAATGTTCATTGCAGCATGTGCTTAGAAACAAAATCTTGGAAATAAAATCAAAGATGATTGAATAAATTATGGTACATACAGACCATGAAATATTATGCGGCCATTGAGAAGAGTGTTTTAGATCTATACCGGCTTGCTTGGAAGGATTTTCATGGTAAACTATGAAAATAGCAATATATATGATAAAAACGAAAATACTCCCCTCCCCCCAAAAAACCCTAAGCATGTATATACTTAAATTTATATATGATTATGCAAGTATACTTACTGTGAAATGTGGTTATCTGGAGTTTCAACCAGACTGAATGAAAGTCATTATAAGATACCCCAAAAAGAAGCCAGAACTAGACCAGAACTATTTTCTTAGTGTTACAGTATTGATAAAAGTTTATTACTAATTACTTAGAGAAAAAGGGAATTAGAGACTAATTCAGAAGCCATACTGTCTTATGTTTAATTATTTATAAGAATGTATAGTAAACCATATTGACTTCTTAACAAAAGATCTCATTTTAATTACAAAGGTAATTAAGTAATGGCTTTATTTAAGCCATTGTTTAATTTTTGGTCTCTCCTCCAAGTTATTCTCTTCTGTTTGATGGTTTGTGGTCTTTCTTTACTGTCATATTCTTTAGGTTGTTGCATTCTTTCATGTGATGGTGATCTGGTAGATGGGGAATATGATCATTTTTGTCTTTGTGAACAGGCTTCAAAGTAGTTGGCAAATATTTTGAATAAGATCTGCTGAAGGAATAGAAATGAGATGAAGGACAAAATAAGAATGCTTTACCTAGCTGGAGAAGACTGCATTAGATGTGGGAAAGAAGAACAAGTCTTCAGATTTAGCCATACAGATGTTGAGATGCATCTAGTGGAGGTAGCCTGGAGGGCACATAAACCTGGAAAGGTTTGGGCTAGAGATACATATTTGGGAGTTGTCAGAATATAGATGGTATTTAAAGGTGAAAGTCTGGATGGAATGACCTTAAAAGTACATATAGGTAGAAGAGGAAATGGTCCAAGGTCTGAGTCCTGAGACACTTTTAACATATACAGCTAAGAAAAATGATTGGATGTAAAGTGAACTGAGCTACAAGTATGAGAAGAAGAAAGTTAGAGATAGGTTTTCAGTTTTTGAGTTAGGAGTAACTGGAAGGCTTTATTATTCATTAAAAAAGTGAAAAAAAGAAAGCTGGTCCAAGGGTCAAGTGATAAGTTTAGTCCTTGACAATAGGTCTTGTTTTGTTTTTTAATATTTTTTGCTTATACTGGGTCTTCATTGCTGTGCGCAGGGCTACTCTTTGTTGCAGAGTGTGGGCTTCTTGTTGCCATTCCATGGCTTCTCTTGTCGTGGAGCCCAGGGTCTAGAAGCATGGGCTTCAGGAGTTGGGGCACCTGGGCTCTAGAGCTCAGGCTAAGAAATTGTGGTGCACAGACTTACTTGCTCCGCATCATGTGAAATCTTACTGGACCAGGGATTGAACCCATTTCCCTTGCATTGGCAGGCAGATTCTTATCCTTTGCATCAGCATGGAAGTCCTTGACAATAGGTTTTGAAATAACCAGTCACATGTCTCGAGTAGGCAATTGGAAGTAGAGATCTGGCCCTCAGGAATGAGTTGATAATAGAGTTGATAATTTGGGATTCCTTCCCATAGGGGAGGTAGTTGCAATCATGAAAGGCATTCAAGTTAGTCAGGAAGTGAGAAAAATTTATATAGCAGATCCATCATACAGAAAATCTACATTTTAGAGTATGAGAGAGGGAAGAGGATCTGTAAAGATTAAGTAGGAAGTGCGCGAAGAGAACTAGGTGCCGTATCATTGATGAAGAAGAGGCTGTGTAATAGTAAACGCAGCATAAGGCAAGAAGATGAACCTGAGAAAAAGTCAAGATGGCAAAAAGGAGATGATAAAACTGAGTCCCAAAGAAGCTACATAACTAATCCAAGATAACAAAGGTTTTTGGAAGAACCAGATTCTGAACCTAGATCTCTTGTGTATGTTTTTATACCGTGTCATATATAACAAGTGTATAAAACCAAGGCAGTCTCATTCAGATAAATTATGACATTACAAATATAAGAATAATCCCCATTATTCTTATAAAATTTGGTAGTAATTTTAATAATAATTGAGTTTTTGATGAGCAGTGATAAGACAAGCAGCAATTCTTCATTCTAGGTTACCGGATGTGCATCTGTCACTTACCTTGTCGACCAGTGAAACCAAACATTATTGGAGAACAGGTAATCACATGTTAGATTTGTTATTTTTAGATTTAGCTATCTCTGAAGGAAGTACGATTTTTACTTGCTTTAAGACTAAAATGTGTATATTCAGCAATGAGATTTACTTTAAGATTTTGTTTTCAAGGGCTTTCAGATTACCATAGTAGGAAAAATAAAAATGTATGAAAATTGTTGCTGTATTGAACTTTTCATTTTATAGTTTTTAATGTCAGTCAGACCACCTGCTATCATGTTCAAAAGGAAGATTAACCCACATATTTAAGTAGAAAGCACTTCTTTTCTTTCAAAATAAATTTTGGTCATGGAATAAGAGCTTTTAATTTCTGTGGTTTAGTAAGTGTCTTAATATGTGTTGATTCATACTCATCCTCCCTATGGTCTTCCTCTTAATTTGTCAAAGGACAGAATGATTCAACTTCTGAAATCTCAATAACTTTAAAAAGTACATGTGTTTGTATTAGGATACATTTAACCTTTGGGGAATTCAAATTATAAAACATTTTATGGTGACACTATCCTGAACGCATATTAGCTTAATAAATCATTATTAGTAAATTTTCCTTTCAGGCCACACAAAAAAAGTAAAGTATTGGGGGAGAAAAACATTTCTTAAGAATACTTTGTCAGGATAATGCTTGGTCCATTAACCCTATCTAAGCTATTTTGAGTATGATAACCACAATGCCATAAATTGTGGAATGTTCTCGACTGTTCTGTCCTTGCCCTGTGATTGCGAGTTAAGAGTAAGAAGGCATCAGAAGCAGGAAAGAGCTATTGGAAGTCTTCCTGTTCTTAACTAAATAAGGAACTAAAAAGTGAGAACGTTTTTATTATGTCTCTAACACTTAGGAGTGTGCTAGCACTAGCTCAGATTTCCAGAAATCTGGAGAGCCGGTTGTTAAATGTGGCCATCATCAAAAATTAAAATATGTGAACTTACAAGTAAATAAGTTATATTAAAAACAAAAGTAATGAATACTCACGACTTACTGCTTCTCAGTTATTTTACTACCTCTGTGCTCTTGCGTCATTTATATATGTATATGCTGTATCTGCATAGCGGCAGTGTTCTCTGCTGTGATACTGCACGTCTCTTCCCTAATTCATATTCAGTGATGTCACATGGGTAGCTTGAAATGTCACAGTTGGAGCTTGGCATTGGCCATGGTAGAGTGTTTAGATCACAGACCTGCAGACACTACAAATGAGGGCCTTATTTTGCTGGAGAGACAGTTAAACGTCTGCCAACACTGCTGCTAGTATCATACCACTTACAAGTGTTGCTAATAGAAGGTAAGAATACAGTTATTGTTGATTAGAACGAATGGGAAAAAACTAAAAAATTAAACTAGTGACCTATTGTAAAGTAACATTAAAAAGCAGATGTAAATATAGGTAAGGAAATAAAGATCCTTTCAGAGTCACATGGCAAAATGAATCCTATCTTCTAACATACTTAAATTCACAACCTTAAATAGACTTTTATCTCATTGTCTTAGTAACTTTTTTATGTATTTAAATTAAATACTCTGTTTGATAGATATCCAGTAAAATGGGCGCCCATTATCATTGTATCATTTGTTCAGCAACAATCACCAGAAGGACAGATATGCTAGGACATGTCAGGCGCCATGTGAACAAAGGAGAGACTAAATCCAGGTATATTGCTGGTAAGTTGAGCAATCTCATTAACACATTAATAAGTAAATCCTTAAACAGTGGTCTAATTGTTATTTTTAGACATCAGAGAGAGAGAATACTGTGACTTAACCAAATCATTTAGTTAACTGCTAATCCATCCGGTGTTGTTTTCTTTCTGTGAGACTCCCAAGAGTATAAACAGTATAAACTGTTCTCAATTTAACAGATGTATTTGATACATGAGTAGAAAAAAGCAGCTAATGCCCAGTAAATGTAGATATTAATGAAAGATAATAGGATTTTATTACTGATGGCTTCTGTACCAGTAACTGTGTTATGCTTGTTGTTGAAAAACACTGGAAAAAGGAGGTAGACTGATACATAAAGACTATTTATAGTCCTGAGTGATACCAAGTTATTAGTAGCTTATTAATACTGAGGCAGTTCCCTCTCAAGAATTAAGCCCTTCTGCCCTAAGGGCAGATGTAATGAATACATCTAGAATGGTACTCTGGACCATTCTTTTAAGTATTGAGAAAAGTAGTGAAATAATTATTTGAAGGGCTTAATTTTCTCACAGAACCTGGTTTGAGAAAGGCTAATCTTGTGAGATATGTGACTTGGCACTTGGGTGACTATAGAAAGATATGTAACATAACAGTAGGAAAGATTACTTTTATGTGGCATTGTAGAAAGAGAAATATGGTTCTCATTTAGTTAACATTCTGATTATAGTTCGATCAAGAAATCCACACATAAATAATCTCAATTATTCCCCTCCACATATTATTATATCTCTTTTCTTAAATAAAATATATTCATACAAATATATCAATATTTCATTTGAGTTTATAAAATTCTATTGTATATTGAAAGTAGAATAATTGGTTCTGTGTATTAGTTTATAGCTGTTGGAATATTTTTTGTGTGTGTGATTTAAAATCACAAAAATATTCTGAAGTCAAGCATGTTCAGGAAATAGAGTGACTCTTAGTCATCCATGCTAGCTAATGAAACGTAACCACACAGGTTAATTTTCTAACATTTAAACCATAATAAAATATGTGTTTAGTAACCAGCCTTTATAAACACAATGTAGTGTTTGATGAATAAAGGTTATTTTAGGATTTGGCGCAATCTTAGGGTAATTGTCCTTAATTAGGTATATAGATACATTGATGTGCTAGACAGTTAAGATTTTAAGCTGATAAACTGTAATTCACCAAATACTTAACGGAATAATTCACCAAAATTCACTGCTCTTTTCCATAGACAGTGCTATTAGATCAATTTTGGGTGATTTTTTTTACATCTACTCAACTGATTTCATTATCATGAAACTATTATAAAGGAAGGTTATTTTTTATGTTCTTGATATTTATAATTATTTTCTATTTCACTGGAAATCTTTTTTTTTGTTTAATTTTAGCTTCTGCTGCTAAACCACCTAAAGAAATTTTGAAAGAGGCAGACACAGATGTACAAGTTTGTCCTAACTATTCTGTACCTCAGAAAACAGATTCTTATTTTAATCCCAAAATGAAACTGAATCGGTAAGATAAATTTTAAAAAGGGTTATGGAATGCTTCACATGCTTCATTTCATTACAAATGTACCTTCTCTTAATCTTTTTGTTCTAGTATATTGAAATTTAAAAGTAGGTATAGAATGAAAATCATTTATTTTAGCATTTTCTCAGAATGATTGTTTTATTTTTCTGCCAGACTAATTTTTTTCTTGAAGTAAAGTAGGTCTAACTTTATATAAAATTAAAGGAACAGACTGATGGGCCTGTGGCAAGTTTTATTTATAAAATCATTGTTCAAAGTAAATACTTGTTAAGAGAACCCAATTTGACTAATAATTTAATTTCATAGGTTTTTAGTTCTTGTACTATTAAGTAAGGAGTATGTTATTAGGTCTCTTTTCAAAGTAGTTTGCACAGTAAATAGGAATACTGTCTCACTGTTCTTAAAATCCTCAATGATGAAACCATGGTACAGTAAAATTATTTCAGATTATTATCCTTCTTATAGCCAGCTGATATTCTGTACACTGGCTGCTCTGGCTAAGGAGCGAAAACCTTTGGAATGTCTAGATGCCTTTGGAGCAACTGGTAAGTGATAAAGCTTTTTTTGGATCCTCACTTTATCAAATCTGTACAGTATCTTTTCTTTCCTTTTATGTTTTCCTTGTTGTTGTTTAGCCACTTTGAGAACTAAGGGTTTGTTTATATCATGTGAACCTGAAGAGATTTTTTTTTTTCCCAGTTTTATTGAGAAAGAATTGGCATACATTACTGTATGGGTGTACAAGTTTAATTAAGATGTAGAGCATGATGGTTTGGTTTACATATACAATAGGTTCAGCTAACATCCATCATCTCATATAGATACATAAAAAGAAAAAAAAGTTTCTCCTTGTGATGAGAACTCTTAGAATTTATCCTCTACTTTCCTCTATACAAGTGTTACCTATATTTAATCATCATGTTGTACATTTCATCCCTAGTACTTATTTATCTTATAATAGGAAGTTTGTACATTCTTGCTGGACTTGCTGTACAATATATTTTCTTAGGAAATGTATATGGATATCACATCAAGCAAAGTATTTTTATATAAAAAAAATGCAAGGCAAATTTTTTATTGTGGAAAAGTTTCAAATATATACAAAACTAGAGTGTATAATAAGTGAATTCCTTTATATCCATCACTCAGTCTTATATCTGTATTCCTGTGCACTTTCCCTCATAACTCATTACTCTCTACTCTATCCCCTTTATTTTGAAGCATATCTGTAAATAACAGATACGTCATTTCATCTGTAAATATTTCCATGGGATCTGTAAGATAGTGAAGTGAAAGTCACTCAGTCGTGTCCACCTCTTTGCGACCCCATGGACTGAGTCCATGGAATTCTCCAGGCCAGAATACTAGAGTGGGTAGCCTTTCTCTTTTCCAGGGGATCTTCCCAACCCAGGGGTAGAACCCAGGTCTCCCACATTGTGGGCAGATTCTTTACCAGTTGAGCCACAAGGGAAGCCCAAGAATACTGGAGTGGGTAGCCTATCCCTTCTCCAGCGGATCTTCCTGACCCAGGAATCAAACTGGGGTCTCCTGCATTGCAGGCAGATTGTTTACCAACTGAGCTATGAGGGAAACCTGTAAAAGATCAGGACTTTTCAAAATTAAAACCCATATACCATATCACACCTAAAAAATTAAAAATAATTCTTTAATGTCATCAAATGTTTTGATAGACCTAATTATTTCATAATTTTTAAAAAATTTAAGTCAGAATCCAAAGACTATACATTTCAGTTGTTTGATAGGTCTCAAGTCTCTTTTTAATCTATATTCCTTTTCATCGTTTTGTGTGTATGTGTGATAATTTGTTGATATAAGAGGTCATTTGTCCTGTAGAGTTTCCCACAGTCTAGATTCGTGGTTCATATACCATATCCCTCTATTTCTGTAAATTGGTAGTTGGATGTTCAGGTTTGGTCAAATTCAGACAGGATTTTTTTTTTTTTTTTGCAAGAATACTTGTTTGCAGCAGTCAGTAAGCACTTGGTGTTTGGTTGGTGTGTGTGTATGTGTGACGCAGTAAACATTGCCTACATATTAGGCAATGAGATATTATGGTGAAATTTTAAAGACTGAGAACATTTTTCCCAAAAGGACATAACAGTATAGAAAAGATTGGAAAATGTAGAAAATTTCTAAAAAGCCACTTGTACCCTATCCAAGTTTTTCTTCTTAAAAGTTATAGGAGTGTATTCTTGGGAAGTTTGTACCGGTAGGATGAAAGCATGACCTAGCTCTGCTTACGTTCCTCCCCTCAGAGAGAAGTAGTGTTGGAAGCATGGACGGTGGGGTCAGACTGACTGCATTCAAACCCCAGCTTTATAACGGGCCAGCTGTCTAACCACAGGGAATTACTCTTTAATTTGCTTATCTATCCAAAAGAAGGTACCTACCTTAATGTAAAGATTAAGGAAATTAATACATGTAAAGAAATTAGAACAGTATCTGGTATACAGCAAATGTAATAAAAGTATGCAGTATCATCATTATTGTATTATTATGACTACTATCATCATCATTAGTAATGTGTCAGTGTAGGAATGGTAAAAGTGATGAAGTAACGATTCTAAGGTGATCACATCCTCTGAGTCGGTCAGATTTTAAATATGAATCATTTTTTTATTACTCCTTTTCCCACCACTATCTCCACACAGTCAACTATGGATCTGTTCTAATTTTTCATTTGTATTGTGACTCATACTCTTTTTCATTCCATATCCACCAATAGAGTGATTTTTAGCAATTATATCTGTCTAATCTGTCTTGCATGCTGTTACCAAACAGCTTTTCCTCTGAAACACTGAATTGATAATGTTACTCTTCAGTCAGAAAAGTCATGCATCTTAATTGCCTAGCATTCAGCTTCTCAGATTGCAATTTAATATCTTCCATAATCTGATCACAATCTACTTTTCCAGATTTATTTCCCACCATTTTCCCTCACACAATCTTCCCCCACCCTTGTGTTTTACATTCAGTAATATTTATTAAATGTGTATCCCAGGTGGCTTTAGTGGTAAAGAACCCACCTGCCAGTGCAAGAGATATAAGAGATGCAGGTTCAATTCCTGGGTCAGGAAGATCCCTTGGAGGAGAGCTTTGAACCCACTCCAGTATTCTTGCCTGGAAAAGCCTGTGGACAGAGGAGCCTGGTGGGCTACAGTCCATAGCGTCTCGTGGAGTCAGACATGACTGAAGTGACTTAACATGCAGCAGCATACCTACACTGGATCCTATATATATTTAACAGTGGAGTCATTTTATTTTCTTTTTTTCTCCCTTTAGTTTTGTTGAGATATAATCAACATGTATGACATTGCATATGTTTTAGGTATACAACATAATGATTAGCTATATGCATGTATTGTAAAATGATCAAAAAAGTTTAAATCCATCTCTTCACATAGTTATAGATGTTTTCCCCTTTTTGATGAGATCTGCTCACTTAGTCGGTTTCAAATAAATAGTATTGTTAACAATAATTTCCCTGCAGTACATTTTATCCCCAGAAGGTATTTCTGTTATAACGGCAAGTTTGTCCCCTTTGACTACATTCACTCAGTTCTCCCACGCCTCCAGTCTCCTCCTCTGGCAGCCTCAAATATGATCTCCATTTCTGTGATTTGGGTTTTTTTTTTTTAGATTCCATGTATAATTTAAATCATACAGTATTTGTCTTTCTCTGACTTATTTCACTTAGTGCAATACTTTCAAGGTCCATCTGTGTTGTCTGAAATGGCAAGATTGCCTTCTGTTTATGGCTGAATGGTATTCTATTGGGTATATATATATACCCCATGTTCTTTATTCATTCATCCATCGATGTGTACTTCATTTGTGTCTGTGTCTTGGCTCTTATAAATAATACTGCAATGAACTAATCCTCTTTTTTTACCTGAAACATTAAAATTATTGTTTAGGAAGATCTTTTCATCCTTCCTTTTTAATGTGCCTTTGTAAACTTAAATAAAACTCATAGCAGTCATTTTGCTTGTTTCCCCATCTCTAAAATGTAGATATTAGAACTTATTTCACAAGCTTATCTTAAGAATAGGAAAATAAATGTAAAGACAATGGCATATAATAGGTGTTAATTTTTTACATTAATGAGGCATATGTATGGAGGTGGTCAATACTTCAGTAAATCGGGGGTTTTCTACTCCGTATTGGCTAGGCTTGTGTCACCATCTCCCATTTTGCAGTGAATGTCCCTTATGACTCAAATCCAATAGGGATAGAAAACCTGTGAGAGGGCCCTCTTGGTTTCAATTCCTGTTGATCATTTGCTTACACATACAAAGTTGTTTTTCACTCACAGTGATGCTGTCGCGCAGTATTTGAAAAGCATTGGTCCGGGAACATTGTTTTCATATTTTGTTGTATTAAAGCTTCAGCAGGATGAATTCCAGCTTCCCATCTTCCTTTCAAGTAGAGTAACCCCACTGTTCCTCATATTGTATATTGGATTTCTCTGTAAGATTTTGTTTGAAGAAAAAGTATTCCATTGTAAGAAGAAAGGGAAAAAAATCCTATCAACCCCCCAAAAAAGAACATACATAGGTATTTTATTTTAACATGGATTTTAGAACAGTTTTTTTAATAACTGTTAATGGAAATCTGCAGGATACATTTTCTTGTGGTAAATCTTCTTAAGAGGCATTTTGGTGAGAAAGTAAAATAAGAATTACTTTTGAAAATACTAAGATTTTGAAACATTTATTTCTGTTATTTACAAAATTATATTCTTTATTTTTATTATACTGTTTTTATTCTTTGTAATTTAAAAACCCATTTTTCTCCCAATTTCTCCTAAGGGATAATGGGATTACAATGGGCAAAACATCTCGGAAATGCAGTCAAGGTTACAATTAATGATTTGAATGAAAACTCTGTGACGTTGATTCAGGAGAACTGCCATTTAAACAAATTGAAAGTGGTTGTGGACAGTAAGGAAAAGGAAGAAAGGGACGATATTCTGGAAGAAGGAGAGGAAAACCTTGGTAATATTAAGGTGACCAAAATGGATGCCAATGTACTAATGCATTTGAGATCTTTTGATTTCATGTAAGTGAAAAATTTTTTCTGTCACTTTCTAAACTGATTTGGATTTGAAGGGAGGTGGGGTAGAGAGGGGGCCGTTAAAAATTAAGATAGTTTGGCATTGTTTATTTATTTAATACAATATTTTGGCATTGGCTTAAGGAATGCCATAAGAGCATTTTATAGCATTTGAAGTAAAATGCCTGGGGATGACAGCTTTCCTCTAAGCATGTTTTATTCTCACGTGTCTAAGATATCATATGATCCTTTTATTGCTTACTTTAAAAACATAATTATGTTTTTAAAATAGATTTATGAAGTACTTTTGAATCCATGGAACTTTATCATTAGAAATATGGCAATGGTATGATTTTGGATACTAGTATGATTTTAAATATGACCATATTGTTTCTGATTTTAGACACCTAGATCCTTTTGGAACATCTGTGAACTATCTTGATTCTGCATTCAGAAATATAAGAAACCTTGGCATAGTATCAGTGACTTCTACAGATATCAGTTCTTTATATGCCAAGGCACAACACGTTGCCCGGCGTCACTACGGCTGTAATATTGTCCGAACTGAATATTACAAGGAGCTAGCTGCAAGGATTGTTGTAGCTGCAGTGGCAAGGTACCGAATGCCAGCAGTGTCCTTTGTGTGTCTGAGTGTGTGATGGAGAGAAATAACACTGCAGGAAGCACTGTTTCAGTCTTCATATGCACAAAATACAAACTCTGTATTTTGTATATGTGATCTTGATTTTCTTTTGAAATCTTATGTTGTATGTTAGAATTTTATTTAAAAGCTTGTGCCTAAAACCGTTTACTCTCCACTTTAAAATGTTATTTAAATAAAGTAGTAAGAAAAAACGAAAGTTAATTTCAAATCATTTTGTTTCAACAAACATAGATCTTAGGTTTAGAAATGATCATTATTTAATGTCTTTTTCATCTTATCTTCTTTATGTAGTTTGAAAGAATTGATGGCTTATAAATTTGATTCTGTGAAATGATCTCACTTGTAAAACAAAAAGTTCTGTTTCTCATCAGACTTTCTAAACAATTGAAGAAAGGAAGACTTTTGAGCACCCATTTTATGCATAAAGTTATGCTAGAGGAATAGTAATAATATAATCTCAATGAATTTTAAGATTACAGATCATTACAGCTGGCTCTGTCACTAACCCCAGCACCAGTTTCACAGCATTTAGATTGAAAATTCTTACCTCAGCAAAAATACAGATTATTAGACTTCATAGACCTTTAGGATTATTCCTAAATAACTAAAACCTCTGATGTTCATTTGGTACATGCCAAGGACCTACTACTGTACATACTTTAAAATGTTTATAATGTAACAGCAAATTCAAGTACATACAGACTAAGTTAGTGTACAACTGTAGAGGGAAAACTGAGTACATAAATGGTGTATCAAGTAGAATTTAATACAAAAGTATATAAACGTAGTAATGGCAAGGACTTTGCTTATTCATTTTTTATCAGCTCTTCAGCAGCTAGCATACTTCCCTGCATATTTAGTATTCAGTAAGCATGCATTGTTTGGAAGAAGCTTTGTAAAAAAAAAAGTAGGTAAAAAGAAAGAAAGATGGTTGTGATGACAAGAAACAAAGGTGACATTAGAAACCAAAGAATATTGAGAAGATATCATAAAGGAAAATGTGTAATTACTAAAAGCCTGCCAAGCATCCTATAATTTGTGTTTCAGTTTGTGTAAAAGTTATAGTATATATCTTTTATAGCCACTTTTTTATATATCTTTTTAAACCACTGCTACCAAGAGTTAAATTTTTCTTATTTTCCCATAACCCTTCCATAGTGTATGACTGTCCAAGTTAATATGGTCAACATAATGCCAAACAAAGGAAAATGATAAGCTCCCAAAATAACTTAAAAATTTTTTTCCAGAGCTGCAGCCCGATGTAACAAAGGCATAGAAGTACTGTTTGCAGTGGCTCTGGAACATTTTGTGTTGGTTGTTGTGAGAGTTTTGAGGGGGCCAACTTCTGCAGATGAAACAGCCAAGAAGATTCAATACCTAATCCATTGTCAGTGGTGTGAAGAGAGAATTTTTCAGAAGGATGGTAATATGGTAGAAGGTAAATGCAAGTTTCTTTTGACTGAATATTGTGTTGAATTTATGTGTAAGCCTCCAATGAATAAGCCTTTATCACATCCCTAATTTATACATATTGTTGTCCTTTGATTTTAAAGATTACAGTGCTAACTTTATTTCCTATACTGGATTTCCTTTCATCAACAGACGAGACATTCGTGTGAGTTCATTAAAGTCATTTACTCATTATAATTTATGTTCTCTAGCCATGCCTTCTGTTGAAATGTCTAGAAATAACTTAGTTTCCACTGTCACTAATTTTAGGAACATTAAGTCCGATTACTTCTTTCTTTAGGATGTTTCAAATCATTAATTTTATAAAAATAATGGTCATGTTTCTGACTGAATATAAAAGCCATCAATTATAAAACTCATCCAGTAAATATTTATTGAGCTTCTACTATATGCCAGGCCTGGGGAATCAAAGGAAAAAGATGTGGCATGTGCCCTCATCAAGCTGTTTCTGTTTTGCTTTTCTGGGACATAGAAACAGTTGCTCGTTTTCTGTTAGCTTCTTAGCATTTTTGAAATGTGGATTTTTAAGAACTCTTTATATAGTAGAATTTAACCCTCGTGGGTATGATACGATAGTTGCAGATATTTTTTCTCATTTTGTCACTTGTGTTTGCATCTTTTTTTTATTCTTTCATGCAGACATTTTCATTGTTTCTGTTGTAAAGTTAATCAGATGCTTAATGTATTCTCCATTTTGTCTGTAGTTGGAAAAAGCTTTCCAATCCTAAATTATTCAGAGAAGGTTATATTTTATTGACTAGTTCACCTCTTGTCCACTTATTTGAGAATACCATATCTATCTTAAACTAAAAACCCACATGGATTTGAATTTGTTTTTAGATTTTCTATTCTGTTCCAGTGGTTGGATGTTCATGCATTCATTCACTTCTACTCCTTTTAGTGTTGTTTAATATCTGTTAAGTCAGTCACTTCTCAGAGCTCTATTTTCAGAGTGTTCCGTTATTGGATCCTTTTTTTGCTTAATGAAAGATAAATAAATAAACCAGTTGGTAGTTTATTTTGACCACATTGAATTGAGGAGGAGATGTGGTTTTGAAGCTTCCTAAGAACCCACTATGCTTTTCTTCTGTCCAGGTACTTCTGCTACAGTGTTAATTGATAGTAGGAATGGAGGGAATCTTGTCATAATCCTTTGTTTGAGTTCTCTCTGGTGCTTTAAGATTTGTGCATGAAGCTGAGATACCTGTCATTTATTTACCCAATCAGCACTTTGACTGTATCATTACAGTGCCTTCTGGCTTCTATTATTTCTGATTAAAAGTTAGCCATTAGTTGTACTGTTGTTCCCTTGTACTTAATACTTAGTGTTTTCAGGATTCTTTTTGCAGCTTTCAGCAGTTTGGTTATAACATGTCTGAGTGGGTCTCTTTGTGTTTATCCTCTTTGGAATTCAGAGCTTCTTAGGGCCAGACATAACTGTTTTTTTTTTTTTTTTAAATCAAATTTGGGGCACTATTTTGCTTCTCCAACCTAAACCTTTATCACTTCAAACTGAATACAGATTTCTGTAACCTGCTAATCATGGATTAAAGGAGTTGTGTAATCAGCTGTTTCAAGTACAGTCTTCTAACCAATCCCTTTAACAGTTGTCCTAGAGCTACTCTAGTAGCATTCATCTTTGCTTTTTAGGTTCATATAGCCCCTAGGCTATTTCTGCCTTTAATATCTATTCCCTCCAGTGTGGTTTTTTTCCAGTAGTACTCTCTCAGCTTATAAGCTTTCAGCAAGTACTGAATGATTGGAACATATGATGACTTATCTTCTTATTTTCTAGCGGTATTTAGGAATTATTCACAAAAATATATTTTTCTGTCATTTCTAAAGATTTAGAATAAGAGAAGCCAACTCTAAATGCCCAGTCCACCATCCTAACCTTGGTTTAAATGCAACAGAGTCAGAAAGGTTATAGAATCCACTCTGGCTTTTTAAAATATGAATTTCATAAATATCTTTGATGAAACTTGCAAAAGTTTTGGTCCTCCTAGATAAATGGTACAGTGCCCAGTGGTTTCTTATCTATTTTTTCCTAATTTAATTTTCTTTTATGTAAGAAATAATACACATCTTCAGTGTTTAAAAGGATATCAGTAATGTGAGTTTCACCTCAATAAAAAAAAAAAAAACTCAGTGTTTCTTTTTACCTCGTACCCCAGTGTTACTGATGGTATTCCTACCTTTAAAATTATGAACCAGTTCTTTCTTACATGGAGATTTTTATCCTTTCATATCTCACCATGAGTGTTTTACAATATCAGTGAGTAACTGAACTCAAATACACTCTGCTCAAATTTGACCCTGAATCTGTAAAAACTTAACATCTTTCCTTCTCCTTCAGGAGTCCTTCATGTTGCTTTATAATTTTGGACTGTTACTACAGTGGGTTTTTTAAATTGTTTTAAAATTGAAGAATATTTGATTTACACTGTTAATTTCTGTTGTACAGCAAAGTGGCTCAGTTATACATGTATATACACTCTTTTTCATATTCTTTTCCATTGTGGTTTGTCCCAGGAGACTTGATATAGGTCCTTGTGCTAAACAGTAGGACCTTGTTTTCTATCCATTCTAATAGTTTACATCTACTAACCCAAACTTCCAATTCATCCCTCTCCTGCCACAAGTCTCGATGTCTATGAGCCTGTTTCTGTTTTGTAGATAGGTTCATTTGTGCCATATTTTAGATTCCACATATAACTGGTATTATATGGAATTTGTCACTAGAGTGTTTTTTTAATCAAACATTTTAAAGGATTTTTGACTTAATAAATTACTGTTAAGCAATATGAATTGTTTTCTGCATTGTTTGTAATCATATAGGACTTAGAGTATATTGAGTGTTTCTTTCCAAAAAGTCAGATCATTTAGAATTTTTTATGTTTATCAATTTGTAGTATATTATTTAAAAAGTCAAATGGTTCTGCATTTTGTTAATAAAGTAATGATATCTGCCCCACTCCCTAAAGTAACCAGCTATTAATAAAAATCTCACAGCTGTTTCTTCTCATGTTTAAAGTCTCTAATGTTTGGTATCTTCCCTATTTCTAAGCTATATTGCCTATAACTTCCTTTCATGAAGATGACTATTCAGCATCTCAGACCAGCTCAGTCACATGCATGTACTTCTCCTCTCCAGTGTTGGCTTAATCAATATTCAGTGTTCATATTTTTATAAATATAAAAACATTGTTTACAAGTTGTATTAATTATCTATCTGTGTGTAACAAATTACCTCAAAACTTAGTGGCTTAAAACAGCGTTTATTTTCTCAGTTTCTCTTGAGTCAAGAATCTGGGCATAGCTCAGCTGGGTCCACTAGCTAAGGGTCGCTCCCAAGGCTACCGTCAAGGTGTTGGTTAGGGCTGCGGTCATCAAGGCCTGACTGGGGAAGGACCCATTCACAAGCTCATACACATGGTTATGACCTGGATGTAAGTTGTTAGACTGCAGACCTGAGCACTTGTTGGCTGCTAAGAGGTGTTCTCAGCTCCTTGTCAAGTAGTCCTCCTCACAGAATAGCAACTCACTTCATCGGAAAGAACCAGAGAGAGAAAGGGAGAGAGAAAAAGAGAATATTGCTGTATTCTAGTCACTAGAAATGAGTCTCCAGATCCAGTGATCTCACATGCAAGAGGTGGAGGTTATAGAAGGGCATGAATACCAGGATACAGGGATCATTGCTGCCTTTCTTAGAAGGCTGCTCCACAGAGATGAACCAGTTACACTGCTGTAGTAACTTTTTTATACTACTGTTCAATCACTCAAGTTAATTGTTACTATATATTTGTCACCTTTTGGGTGTGTATATACTTTTCACAATCCATAATACAGTTTCAGTGCTTCTGTGATTCTGGTTAAAAACAAATAACCTTTGGGTTTCACTTAATTCTGCTGGAGATAGTCCTCCTCCTCTAGTTTGGGTTGCTTGTTTCTAAGTGTGCCAAAAGCTGTTGCCCTAGGTCGTCTTTTTAGACTCATAATGGAAATTTTCTTTGGCTTTCTCCTTGTGATGTACTTCCTATATCTTAAATCTTACGCATTTTTCACCTTTCCTTCTTTACTTTCTCCTTTTGAAGCTACACTTTTTCCCATAGAAGGATTTCCTTAGGATTGCATGGGCAAGTAAGTATAGAAGTCTAGGTTAGAAGTTGTTCTTCCTCAGAATGTTTAAGATGTTACTCCTTTGTCTTTTATCTTTCAATATTGACAAGTCTGCTGTTGTTCTCATGAATAGTCCTTTGTGCTTTTTCCTCTGAGTGCTCTTAAAATATCTCTTCTTAACCCACTATTCTAAAATAACTTCAGGATGTTTATGAATTCATCGTTTTTAATTCATTGTGCTGCAGTCTGTGAGCCCTTAAACTTGAGTTCTTCAGTTCTGATAAATTTTTTTCTATTTTCTCTTTGATAATTTTTTTCTCTCAAATTATTTCTCTCTTCCAAGAACTCAATTTTAGTTATGTGATGGATCTTCTTGATTAATCCTCTAATTTTTTACGTCTCTATTTATTTCTTTAGCAGTTCTTTATAAATTTCCTTGAGTTTTATTTTCCAACTATCCTGCTTAAATTTGTCATACTTTGTTCATTTCCAAGAGTTATTTCATATTTTTATTGTTCCCTTTTTAATAGTATCCTATTCTTGTCTCAGAGATGTGAAATCTAATCTTACCTCTGTTATACTATTGATATAGTTGGGTATATTTTATATTTAGGGGAGGATAGGTTTTTCATTTTGCTTATTTTTATATTTTGCTGTTATTTTGTTGTTTTAGTTATTCTTTCCTAACTGTTTCTGGTTTGCAATTCTGTTCTTGTCATAGTATATCTCAAATGTCTTATAGTCTTAGTTTTCCATGCTGACAGTTATGTTGAAGTTCTTGGGGCAGGGCTTATAAACTGATAGGTTTTACTGTATTGAGAAGGCAGCCTGCCTTTTCACTACAAGAACTCCCAAAAGACAGTCACTCTGTATGTGTCTCTTCTCCTGGATTGGTAAGTACTTCTACAGAGGAATCTTGCAGTCTTTTATCGGCTTTCTAGGAACCATGTTGGGGAAGGAGACTGGAAGGTCCTAGCATTTGTGCAGACTTTTACTTAGTCCCTTTCTTTTCATATATCTCCTCACTCTTAACTGTGACTAATGTCCCTGGTTCCAGATCCTCTGTGGTTCAGCCTGACCCAAGATTAACTTCCTCTTTTGGATGGAGAAGACACAGAAGCCTAACTTTTGATTTTAGAGAAGATCTACAAGTCTTAAAATTTTAAAATTAAAGTCTGGGTTGTTTTTTTTTTGCATTACCACCCTATTTCCATCTTCAGAGACAGTCAGTACTTTGAATTCTCAAGCCTTTTCAGGTCCCACGATGCCAGTGGGCTTGCTGTTTATTGGTAGCCTGTCTACCCATTTCAGGCTCGGGCTTTAGCTTTCTCTGACCTGCTAAATCCATTACCTCCTTGTGTATCTGCTTCCCACTTCTAAAATTTTATGGACATTTCTCATCATCTTGCTATCTCTTCTCACATTTTATTTATCTTTGGGGTTTGAATTTTATTCCTTTGTTCTCATCTTAATAATGCTTTAAGAAACAGAAGAGATTAAAGTATGTGTTCAGTCCATTTCATTTAAAGTCTCTAAATAGTTTGAATTCCTCATCTGGAATTACCTTCATGGCCTATTTACCAATGACATAGAAATAGTAGTTCGTTCTTTCTTCACACCTTCATTTTTTTCTACTCCGTAACTTGAAATGGAAATGATAACCCTGATCCCTGAAGATGCTGATGCTCATCAGGCACTAAGAAATCCTAGGCAAGGGTCTTCAAAAGAGACATAGGTTTATATGATGGGATCATTTTGCAAAATACATCAGGAAATAAACTGAAAAATATTTGTGTGCTGCCTGCGGTAAGTTGGTACAACTGACAGAACCATAAATATAAACCACCCTACTTTGGGTAATTCTGCCTGAGGACATATAATTTAATTATGTAATGGTTTCAGGGAAGATGTCTTGAATATGTTCGTATAACATTTGAGGAGCATCATTCTCAACAAAGCTAAGGTCAGTGATAACCACACCTTCTTTTGAGGCCGAAAGGTAGGCCTAGGAGCAAACAGTGAAGGAAGCCGTTAAGTATAGATGCAGCTGTGAGTTATGCCACTTCATTGCATTGAGTCATAGAGCGATATCAGATAGCAGGAGGCTCTAGACCCATGCCCCTACTGCCATAATCCTGAGTTCTGGATATATCTAGGGCCCATTGATCAGATCAGGCCATTCCAAGAAAGTGAATGATCAACCCAGAAATGGCCTGGGGGATCTCAGTTAGAGAGAATCTGATTTAAAATGACTATTCTGAGTCTTAAGTGAACAGGAAAGTCCATGGTAGAATATCATGCCATTTTGGAAACTGAGAATAGGTCTTGTACCTCCCCAGTCACCTTATGATTACATCAGAGCCCTCATTGCTCTTTAAACAGAATTAAGTTTCTTTCAGCCTACATGTCTGGGACTGAATATGCATCAAGCCTAGGGAATAGAGTAATTCATTTTCTCATCCCAATTACAGAAGAATTAACTTATGGGAAATGTCTTTATTTTGATGGATGTTGGTTATATGGCTATGTACATTTATTAAAGCTCATCAACCTTTTCACATAAAATGTATACATTTTACTGTATGTAAATTATACCCCAATCAGTTGATTTTAAAATATGGATAGCTTGTGAAATTTCTAAGACTTTCTCCTGCTGAAATTATTTCAGGTAGTATAGTGACTAAAAACAATGCCTCTAATTTTGACATGGATTTCTGTATCTTTCTTAAGCTTTAATCATCTGATCTACATAACTGAGATCTTAATACCTGCTTCAGAGAGTTTTAAGGATTAAATTTTTTTTAATGCATATGAATGCACGATACCTGGCACATAGTAGATCCTCAGTATATTGTAGCTGCAAATTATTGTTTATATAACAATTACTACTGTTTACATTGTCATTTCTCCTTTGATTTCTTTTTATTACCTTTTCACAGAAAACCCATATAGACAGCTACCCTGTAATTGTCATGGAAGCATGCCTGGAAAGACAGCAATAGAACTTGGACCTCTATGGTATGTGCCTAAGCATAGTAATGTATTCAGAGTTTATGCATGTGTTGATCTGATTGCTGACTTTTGATTACTGTGGTAGAAGACAAAGAAATTTAGTTCAGTCTTTTCAAAAATATAGGTAAATAATTACAGTTCTTTTCCCCAATGAACCTGAGGTGTTTTCCTTGCACATTTTTCTATACCATTATTCTTCCAAGTTTGTGACAGAGCTAAGATGCAGTCGGATCAAAGAGAAGCCAAACTGATCTGCAAACTAAATAATTCATTCCTGCGTAGTAAGGATGAGGCTTTTTTCAGCTGATAATTATAGAACTAGGTTATGATCTTGAAGTGATCACTATAACTTTTTATAGACCAGTCAACTAATGTAAAAGCTTTTTGAGGAATTAATTTTAAGGAAGAATGGCATGTTAAAGTAAATGTCTGCTTTTGTATTAGGTAAAGCTGTTTATATGTGACACAGCTGCAAATATTTAACGTTGTGTGTGCTTTTTGCATCCTTGGTAGCTAGTTACTGTGTTTTTCATGTTTGAAAGTTGAATTGCTTTTACTCTCAATCCTTCCCATAAGCTGTTTATTACTAGAGATTCTTGGAGAAATTTGAGATTGCTAATAGCATTGTAATAATCATTACAAACTTCAGCCTCGTTACTTTATAAGGCCAAGGTTTAGTCATTACTAAGTCTAAAAATTAACTTAATAGTAAACATATTTGTGCTGATGCCCATTATTTTATCTTCAGGTAAATACTTTTAGATTAAGAATGACCTGGCCAGCCTTACCTTCTAGTACTCTCAATCACCGGCAGTATGTTGACCCTACTCACTCTTGGAACTGGGAAAGTTAAGAGTAACAGTTAAGAGTAACAGCTAGATCCAGAAAGATCTTCTAGCCCACCTCCTCCCTTATTTTAACAGATGAGAAAATGATGGCACAGTGTATTTAGTTAGTCGCACACAGAGAGCCAGAACTCATTCTTTTTTTTTGACCTCCAAGACTGAGTTCTAAACAAAGAACTTAAGGTTTTCTCACTTAAAGCCATTGTTCATGTCTTTAAGCACATCCAGTCTCTTCTCCTTTCCCTTCCTCTAGTTCAAATTCTGCATCCTTTTTGAAGTGTCACTCCTTAGTGCTTAAATCCAAGATAATTGAATTGTCTTTTAGTAAATCTTACATTGGTCACTCTTTTGACACTTCAAATCACATATCCTTTCATATATATTTGCTAACCCTAGTAATAACAGCTACTGTTCCTTGAGGATATACCTTGTACTAGGGATTGTAGGTGTATTATCTCATTTAATTACCATAAGTCTGTGAGATGTTTTATTTCCCATATTATGATAAGGAATGTGAGACTCAAAACAGTAGTTACTCAAGATTACATAGCTAATAAGTGGAGGAAAGGTTTGTCTGACCTGGAATTCATATTCTGTCCATTATACTTGTGATTCTCAAATTAAATGGGAAACATATCAGACTGAGCCCTGGGCCACTCTTTAACTACGTCACCACCAGCACATGTAATTCTTATGGATGTCACCCTGCCCCGCCATATATGCCCTGGAACTAAGGATTACTGTTACTGATAGGAATATGCATTGTGAAAACCTCTGCATTATTGTGTGTCCCAGTCTAGATTCTGTCTACATTTATAGGCTTTCACAGGGTAAACAGTGAATTTTGTACTTCACTGTATCTTACACCTCTATGTACAACAGGACACCTTGTGAGGGCTCAGTAAGTTGACCTACTGTGAATAAAATTTCCTTTACTAATCCCACTAGCTTAGAGAACTGACATGATAAAATGGGCAAATTATCTTGGTTGTTGAATTATGAAGACTTATTAAAGAAAACACTTCTTGAATCTAATTCTTTTTTCAGGTCGAGTTCCCTTTTCAATACTGGATTCCTCAAAAGAATGCTGTCTGAATCTTTTCACCATGGTTTAGATGACATTCAGACCCTAATAAAGACATTAATCTTTGAGTCAGAGTGTACTCCTCAAAGTCAGTTTTCAGTTCATGCACCTTCAAATCTCAACAAGCAAGGTGACTTAACTGAACACTAATTTACTGTATTACAAATTGTTTATCAATTTAATTAAAAGCAATTTAAGTAGTATGCTTTAAGTAAATTCTCTGTAATGAGTCTCATCAGTAATCCAGTTAGCTTTTTTTTTAATTGCATTGTTTTCAAGTTTGTATTAGGGGCCTGAAAGGAATGATTTGTTTTATAGATGTATTTTTTAAACTTTAGTAGATTGAAAGAACTAAAAGTCTGTTCTGATTTTACTACCCTGTATCTGCTTTCTGGAAAGAGAAACTTTAGGTTATTCTGAGAACAGTGTGGCCAAAAATTTTGTAATATCCATTGAGACATGGAAGCTAGGTTTACACTTACCACTCAGGAAAGTTAAGTTTTTTCTCCTTTGTTTTCTCTTTAGTATAAACAGGCTTTTGTAGTTTTATCTGGCTATTGATAGAAGGGTGGGCCTGTTAGGTGTCTTAGAGGGTCAAAAAATGAATTCTTGGAACCTGTTTTGGTCACAGAATCTCATATGGTCATAAAAGCAGTGCATAGATTTAGTAAGCTTTTATGTAAACTTCAAATTGTTGCTTAATATCACCCTATAAAATATTTTGTTTCCATTTGTTCTAATTTTAGAAGAATGTGGTGTATTTATTAAAACTACAGATGATACTACAACAGATAATTACAGTGCACAAGGTATGTGTGTGTGTGTGTGTGTGTATGAATGCATCTGTGTAAAAGAGCATATAGCAGGATAATTGGAAGAGAAGAGATTGCTTTGGTAGCCTACTTCAAAATTCATTTTCATTTTATTATACCAGCAACCAAATTACAGTAAACCTTATTTGGCATTTGCATAGTTCAAAACTTCTATTAATATGTACTTTGTTCACATCTCTGGTATATGGTGATCCCCTTGCAAGAGCTATACAAGATGTTAAAAGAAATTTCATTGTTTTACCTGAAGACCCTATACTCTGGCCGTAAGAATTTTATTACATAGCTTTTCTTAATTTGAGATGTGTACATACTTTAAAATATACTTGTATTAGGCATTGTAAATTCATATCAAAGAATGTTAAGATTTGTAATGGTGATGCTTAATGTCTAAGGTCTTTAGAAGGCAACATTAGATTCTAAATCTGTTTTTGTATACAGGCAAAAACAGTGTTGAGATTGAAAGAACTGAGGACTATAGTTACAAGCTGTAATTTTGTATTAGTTGCTCAACATTTTAGTGTTGATCTTCAAAGAGAAGAAAATTTCAACTCCTGCTAATAGCTTATGGTTTAATAACTACAGACTGTTCCCAACATTCATATTCATTTAGCATCTTTAGTTAATTTGTTAGGATTCAAATCACTTAAAAATGATTTATTCTCCTTAATTTCTCTGGAGGGAAGAGAAAGGCATTCCAGTATACTGTAAAATACATTAAATTTAAGAGTATCATTCTACTACTTTTTTTTTAATTTAATTTTATTTTTTTTAATTAAATATATTTTTATTAATAATAATATATAATAATAATAAAAATATATTTAATTAATTAATAATAAAAAATACTTTTTTTTTCCATTTATTTTTACTAGTTGGAGGCTAATTACTTTACAATATTGTAGTGGTTTTTGCCATACATTGATATGAATCAGCCATGGATTTACATGTTTGTGTCATTTTGTTACATAACCTCAGCCAGGCCCCCACCTTTGACTTGTCATAAAACCTTTTTAGAATAAGGTAAAAATGTAAGTTTTGAAGATATTTAAAATCTCTGAGCCTTTCTCATGTATAAATTAAGGGAATTAGACTAATCTCTATGGGTTCTTTTATAGCTCTGAAATTATGATTGTCCTAAACTAGTAGAACATATAAAATCTTACATGATAGAAAATATCAGGCAAAAGAAATCTTTGTACTGCCGATGATAGTAATTAGAAGGTACTGGATTTTTAGTCTCAGCCTTTCCTAACTCTTGGGGTACATATGCCTTTTTAGATTTAATGTGACAGTATAATTAGGTTTTAAGTATCTGATTTAATGGGGGAGCCATGAGTCAATACTTTAACAATATTTATTTTTGAATGCAGTTTATCATTCATTTTCATGCATCAAATTTGTCTTCTGAATACTTTTGCTTAAGTGAATGTTCATGAAAATTTTAAATTTGGCCATAATAACATCCATGTAGAAATAAAGAGTTGAACATTCAGAAAAAAATCTCCATATGGTAACCTGAATATCTTAGTTGTCTTCTTTTTGTGATTTTTGGAGGGATACATTGCTAGAAACTTACTTGCTAGCTTCCTTTCACTGAAAATGTAAAGGCTAAGTACTGTGGTAAGAAGCAGGCAATGCGATCATACAGTGTACTCATAATTCCTGTATCCAAGCCTCTGAGACTGACTTTGTTTTGTGTTCATTGAAGACCTACTGTGTATCAAACACAGTTGCCTCTTGAACAGCCCCGGGATTAATCCATGTGTAACTTAAAGTCAATCCACAGATTCAACTGTGAACCATGTGTTACTATAGTTTCTTCCTGTTGAAAAATATCCATGTTGAAGTAGACCCACACAATTCAAAACCGCATTGTTCACAAGGTTCAATTCTGTTGGCATTCAGTAGAGAATACAAGTATAGAAATAAAGGACCTTGTTCTCCAGGAACTTACAATATAATTTGGGGAGAAAGGATTTATACACATTATTAAAGACCTAAATACATGAAACAAGAAAACATATAATGACAGAACTTAATCAAACTCTGAGTAGTGTTGTATTGAGAGCAGTGAAATCTGTGGAACAACTGGTCCCGATTTCAAAAATGGCTTTCTACAGAAGATGGAGGTAGGGTTGAGGCTTAAAACTGAAGAAGGTAGAAAAGAAGTTCTGATTCAGGAAACAGTTAAACAGTAAAATTACATGAGTAAAGGATAGTGAAAATATAAATAAATATTACAATAAGAGCTATGTTGTTGTAAGAATTAAGATTGGATAGGTCAAAATGTTGTGTCAGAGTTTAGACTTGAAGACAGTATGTTAGTATTTGGCTTGTAATTTTTAAGAGAATGCTAACTTTCTGTGTTTATATCTGTACGTTTCAGGAAAGAGAAAAAGTAATGAAACAACTGCAAATTTAGTCAAGAGGCAAAAAACTGATGTCAATACTGAACATCCTCCCTTTTATTACAACATCCACAGACACAGCATTAAAGGAATGAATATGCCAAAGTAAGAGACAGTGAATGACAAAGTGTATATATTTAATATTTTAATGACATTATGATTTAAAACAAGAACCTCATTTTTTTTTTTTTTGCCCTTCCTTGCTGCAGGTTAAAAAAGTTTTTGTGCTATCTTTCTCAAGCAGGCTTTCGAGTAAGCCGAACTCATTTTGACCCAATGGGAGTTCGTACAGATGCACCTCTAATGCAGTTTAAATCCATCCTTTTAAAGTACAGCACCCCCACTTACACTGGAGGACAGTCAGAGGGCCACGTCCAACCAGCATCCGAAGATACAGTAGCTGACAGGGTTGAAATGTCAGTGAATGACAAAGCAGAAGCAGGTGGTTGCAAAAGATGGTAAATGTAAAGGAAAATTACTCAGATTTTCTGTGTTGGTGGTTCTCTTATAGTTCTCTAACAACTGTAGTGCTTTTTCTATTCTTTTAATTCAGTTGTGTAAAAATAAAAAACAGTGCTCTTTTCATTCAGAAAACTAGCAGTTTCTAATTTAGCTGGTTTGGGAGCTATGCTTTCCAAGTTTTTCTTATTTTAAAGAAAACTTAAAATTTTAATGAAAACATTTCATATGAAGCCAAGTTTGTGACTGAGATCACCCTACTGTTTAATAACTCAGAAAATTTTTACATGCAGAGTGTTTGGAATTTTATATGTTATAAAAATAACACATTACTTAATCTCAGCTCTACTTAAAGTGATTCATGTTTATCTTTTCTGTTTGTAACGTGTAAGATGAATCCAGAATCCTTTTATTAAAGTGACCCTAAATAGGAGGAATAGTGTCCTTTCTGATGACTAATGTATTATTTCACAAATACAAACTAAAATATATTCCCAATTTCAGGAAATCTCTCTCCAACTAAATACTTATCGGAGACAGACATACATTTTCTTGTAAGTTTAAAGTCCGAATGATTACACTTTAGAGTAAGATTTTGTTAAAATAAATTGAGACTACTGTTCTAATTGTTTACAAGCACGAAATTCTGAGGAGAAATTTTGTTATGAATTAAACAAACTGGGTGATCTCAAGTGCCTCAGTTAATGCACGTACAATATTCATTTGCTTGGTTATGCTACCTCTCAGGAGTAAAACTTGTCACCTTATGAATTTATGAAGTGAGGATTTTCTTGCTTTTTGGGGTGGGTTTTTTTTGTTGTTGTTTTGCTTGTTTTTTTGATTTGTGTATGTGCTAATTTTTTGTACAAGTAGCCCAGGCTAACATGACTACGAAAATTAGTTGGAAAAAAAAAATCTTGTTTCCATTAATAAATACAGTTCTTGCTTCATCTGAATATAAGAGTTTGTATGAAAAGGTATACCAAAAATTTAGATTTCTGTCTCAAGAATTTAATACATATTTATCTAAGTGTTTCTTAGAAAAAGTAACTTTTTTACAAGCATTAAGCTTGGGAAATGGAGGAAGACAAATGACTGAAAGGTTTAAATATATCATGTAAAAAAAAAACCACTCCCATGACATACACAGAAATTTAGGAAGTTGGGGTTGCATCAACATAGAGTATTAATTTAGAATAAAAGAAAAACTCATGTTATTACAGCATAATCTCAGAAGGATGCTTTTTCTTATCTCGAATTAATGTCTGAGTAACTTTCACTTTAGTAAAGGAATAAACATGAAGATGTAAAATATAACAAGAAATACCAATTAGAGGAAAAGGTAGTAAAAACATAGATGCTTTAGAATGTGTTTGAACCTAAAGGACTATCCATTTAAAACAAATCAATACAGAACCATGGAACCCCACGGTAACCACAAAACACAATAGATAACACAACAACAAGGACGGACCACAAATACACCACAAAGGAAAATCATCAAACCACAATGGAAGAAACAAAAAAAGGGACAGGGAAGAACCACAAAATAAGACAAAAACAAGTAATAAAATGGCAGTAAGTACATACCTATCAGTAATTAATGTCAACAGATTCTCAAGATGGAAGATTAGGTTTTTAAGATCTTTGTAAATATAAACATCAATAACTGTAATTTCACCATGACAAGGCAGTGATCCCTGAAGGGTGATGATATATCACTATAATGGCAGAAAGCAAAGAGGAACTAAAGAGCCTCTTGATAAGGGTAAAGGAGGAGAGTGAAAAAGCTGGCTTAATACTCAATATTAAAATCATGGCATTCAGTCCCATCACTTCATGGCAAATAGAAGAAAAAAGGTGAAAGCAGTGACAGATTTCCTCTTAGGCTCTAAAATAATTGCAGATGGTAACTGAAGCCATGAAATTAGAAGATGATTGCTTCTTGGCAGAAAAGCTAGGACAAACCTAGACAGTGTGTTACAAAACAAAGACATCACTTTGCCTACAAAGATCCGTATAGTCAAGGCTATGAGGTCTTTCCAGCAGTCATGTACAGATGTGAGAGCTGGACCATAAGGCAGGCAGAGACGGAAGAATTAATGCTTTCAAACTGCGGTGCTGGAAAAGGCTCTTGAGAATCCCTTGGACAGCAAGGAACTCAAACCAGTCAATCTTAAAGGAAATCAACCCTGAGCAGTGATCAAACCTGAGCCCCCTGCATTGGGAACGTGGAGTCTTAGCCACTGGACAATCGAAAAGTCCCTATCGTCCTTTATGTTTCATTACGTAGTTAACTTTACCAGTGCTAATATTTGTGTGGATTCAACTTACTATCTAATGTCCTTTCATTTCTGCATGAAGGAGTCTTCAGTATTTCCTATAAGGTAGGCAGGTCTGCTACTGACAGATTTGCTCTGTGCATCTTAATTTCTTTCATTTTTGAGGAGTCATTTTGCTGCATATAGAATTCTAGGTTGAGTTTTTCTTGCAGAGCCTCTGGAAGAGGCTCCATGACTTCCTATGAGAAGCAAGCTGTTAATCTTGTTAGATTCCTCACATGTTATCACTTTTCTCTTGCTGTTTCTCAAAGCCTGTCTTATTTAGCACTAGTTAGGCTTCTCAGATGTGCATATTCTTTTTTGTAAAATCCTGAAGTTTGAGGCAATTATTTCTCCAAATATACTGCAACCTCTTCTCTCCTTCTAGGACCCCCATTATGCTATTACACTTGATAGTGTCCCACAGATCTCTGCAGTTTTTCCCCTTTATTCCTTTAAGTTTTATTTCATATTGCAGTATAGCTGATTTACAATACTGTGTTTCTATTTCTTTTTTTCTGATTAGGCTACTCTCAAGTGATAACCTCTCATTCAAATTTGTTGAATATTTCTAGCAGTTCAAATCTGCTTTTGAGGGACTCTATTGAATTTATTTCACCTGTTATAGTTTTCCAACCCAGGATTTCTGTTTGCTTCTTTTATCATAATTTCTGTTTATTGTTATTCTCTATTTGGAGAAAGATTATTCTCAAATTTAGCTTTTAAGACATGGTTTCTTCTAGTTCCCCAAACAAGCTTTTAAAGGCTAACAAAATTTTTGCTTAATTTTAAAGTTCAACACCTGGGCTTTGTCCCAGACACTTTCTTTGCAAGTCTTGTAAATTTTTGTTGAGAACTAAACATTTAAAATAATATAACATGCCAACTCTGAACAGAGAATCCCTTCCCCTCCTTAGGTTTAGCTGTGTTAGAACTTCTTGGACTGATTACTCTGTAACAAAGTCTGCACTTTTTTGCTGTATGTGACCATTATATTCTGTTTTGCTAGCTTAAATGTGAGTGATATTTGCTCAGTCGTGTCCAACTCTTTGTGACCCCAAGGACAAAGAGTGTCCTTTTCGCCAGGCTCCTCTGTTCATGAAATTCTCCAGGCAAGAAAACTGGAGTGGGTTGCCATTTCCTTCTCCATTTTGTTAGCTTAGAGGTTAGCTAATGATTGGACAGAAATGTCCTTTAATGCCTTTAAACAGTTCTCTCTCCCAATCTTGAAGAAGTGCTCTTTGAAACTGTTGGGCTATGCCTTCAACACTTCAACATGCAGTTTACAACTCTGCCTTAGCTTTCACTTCCTACTTACAGAGCCTCAAGTTCCGTCACAGGTTAGATTAATGCCTTCATTTTTCTTCCGGGTATGCATACATCTTATACACGCAGCCTTTTAGATTCCCGGGAACATGCCGGAACTCTTCAAAGCCCTCTACAGACATGACCTTTTGTTTTGTTTTGTTTTTTGGTCAGCATCTGTTTAGCCTCAGCTGTTATCACAGCCTCAAGCAGCTTCTATGGTAAACAGACTAAAGATACAGATGTTTGCACAGAGTGAGTAGAGTCAGGTCAAATAAAGACAAAACTGGAGAACACAAAGCTTTCCAGTGAGCTACCGGACAGGTCAAATAGTGACAATTCTCTAGAGTGGGCTTTTTGTGGAACTTCAAGCTCCCTCCAGTGGTTACTAGGCTGCTGGTTTTAACAGCTGTCACAGATGCAAGGTTACTCCTTTTCAAGGCTGACCTGGAACTGAGGAAAGACGGTCAGGGAAATTTAAAATGTTACAAGCCATGTTGTTACAGTTTCTGTCAAATAAATGCTTTTTAGACAACTGGAATGTTTTAGTTATTTTTTTAGAGTTCTGACAAAGTTGATTTTGACAACTTTTAGTGTTTTTATGGAACTTTAAATTGTTTTTATGGAACAACAGATTTTCAGAGGTCCTTACTCCATTAATTCAGAAAAGTTGTCAAGGAAGCCATTTTTACAGTTACAACAATGGAACACTAATTACTTTTCCTTTCTAATAATTATGTTTCTAAGACTTAGTAAACCAAATATTTCTAAGTAGAAATGTGATGGGAATTTAAGAGAGATCTTTTCTCATTTGGCATTTCAATTATTTCATGTTTAGTTCTCCAAGTTAAGAGTCCTAAGACTCAATTTTCTCAAAGGTACAAGTGAAATATTGTCCTTCCCAGTGTTCAGAAGATTTAAAACGATAATGTAAACTAATTACAAAGGTACAATAATCAAAACAGAGTGGTACTGGCAAAAGAAAAGTCATACACACCAATGGAATACAAGCCCATAAATAAACCATGATATATATATGGTCAATTGATTTTCATTAACTGAAAAATAATTAAGGCTGCCAAGACAATTCAGTGGAGAAAGGGCAATCTTTTCAACAAATGGTGCTGGGGAAACTTCATATCCAAATGCAAACAAAGCTGATTTCTTATCTTTTGCCATATACAAAACTCAAGATGGAAAAAAAAGACCTAAACTGTTGGAGGAAAATCTTTATAATATTAGATTTGGCAATGCATTCTTGGACATGACACCAGAAGCACAGGCAACAAATAGAAAACTTGGAACTTATCAAAATTAAAAACTTTTGTATATCACAGGACACTTCTGAAAGAGTGAAAAGCCAACCCATAGAATGGGAGAAAATATATGATTAAATCATATATCAGATGACAGATTAATATCCAGAATATATTAAGAACTTCTATAACACACACAAACAATCCAATTAAAAATGGTCAAAAGACTTAAATGGGTATTTCTCCACAGAAGATATACAAATGGCCAGTAAGCACATGAAACTATGCTTAGCATCACAAGCCATTAGGGAAATGCAACTCAAAATCACAATGAAATAACACTGTATACCCATAAGTACAGCTATTGAAAACAAAAACAATAAGTGTTAGTGAAGAAGTGGAGAGAGTGGAATCCTGTAAAATGGTGCAGCCATTGTGGAAAAGTCTGAAGTTCCTCAAAAAATTAAATATAGAATTAACATGTGATTCATCAACTTCACTCCTAAGTGTATATCCAAAAAGAACTTAAAGAACTCAAAACAGATACTTGTACAAAAATGGTCACAGCAGCATTATTTACAATAGCAAAAAGTTTCCATCAGTCTAAGTACCCATCAACAGATGAATGGATACAGTGGAATATTCAGCAATAAAAAGGAATGAAATTCTGATATATGCTACAACTTGGATGAACCTTAAAACCATTATGCTAAGAGACATTAAGACACAAAGGACAAACTGCATGATTCCACATATATACATGCCTAAAATAGTCAAATTCAAAGAAAAATAAGAGTTTACCTGGAATATATAACTTATCAGGTACAATTTCTGATTGGGATGATAGTTCCAGAAATAGTGGTGATGGTTAAACAACACTGTGAATGTATCTTAATGTCATTCAATTGTATGGTTAAAGTGATAAATTAGGTTATATATATTTTACCATAATATTCATAAATTTTAAAATGATAATGTATTAGCCAAAGGCCCTATTTAGTGAGTCTTTCATTCCTCAGTTGAGAAGGTGATTATAGAAGTTACTTGGATAATACTTCATGAAACACTCATAGTTAATACTTTGTTTAACAGTACCCACCCTCCAACACACACAAACATACACACACACACACACACACACACCACTATACACTCAGTGCTCTATCAAATACCTGTAATTATATTTTGCAAAGGATTACACATCCAGTAAATTAATGAGGCAAAGAATTTATATCCTCCCATACTGATGGATAAAAACACATTACATTCTCTAAGCACAAAGCTTATATTCACAAATAACTTTTTGCTTAAAGACAAATGTCAATTAATAATCACAATGGAAATTTAGTTGTTTAATGCAACCACTAATCTAATGTCACCAATAAAATCTAAGCAGTTATATCACAAAACCAGAGTTATATTCAGTGAACATGCATTAATAATCTATACAATTTAACATTACACCAGAAAAGGAACTGAATACAAAATTTTCCTTGATATTTGGTGGTTTTCAAACTTCATGGCACAGATTACCCAAAAAGAAAAAAATTGTAAAAACAGATTTTAAATATTTTCAATAAAATGGTAAAAAATTGAACAAGCTGTTAAGTTTTCATATTGGGGTGAATATTTAAAACATCAAGCTGGCCCCAATCTGTCAAAAATTGACAGGTGAATATTTACAATGGCTAGACAGGCTTTCAGGTACAGTGGTATTGGAGGGTAACTTTCCCCTGGTAAAAACCTTTTATGGTTAATTTCCCAATGCAAACATGTTTTCATAAATACTGTGATAATATAAACTTGGAAACATACCTGAAATCAGGACAGGGACAAAAAATAACAACACAAGTCAATCTTATTTCTGACCTGTAATCATAAAGCCTTCTGGGTCCAAACACCACACACTGTCCTTCATTATAAAACTAAATTAAGAAGAGTAGAATGACTTTACCATTCTGGCTGACATTCTTCTACAGAATTATCTTTCACTACACATCAAGGCAGGGTTCAAGCTCCATTAGCTTGCTTCTCTAGATACAGTGTAATTAGCAGAGCACCAAATTTATAAACTGATATGGCAACCCAAAAATGCTAAACACACTTTCCAAATAAGCAAATTTTCCCTATTGTTAGTTCTATGTGCCATGTTATTTTTGAAACTTATGCAGCTACCAATAAGAGAAGAATTAGGGAAGCTTTGAACATATCTTGTACTTTTCATCAAGGCTAAAGTGCAAAATATCTCCATGTCTCTGGTATTTTAATAGGAAAAAACATACACATAATAAAGGAAATGAGGTGACAATAAAATACAAAGAAAAAGACTTTTTAAAATACACACTTGAAGATTACATAAGAACAATTTAATTTTTCTTTTTTCAATGAAATCTGTGAATGAACCAAGTTCTCACAGAACTTGAGATCTTGTTTGGTTCTCTTTCCCAGGATCAGAAATTCCAAATTTAGAGGGACAAAAATGGAAGAAAATAACATTGCATGACAATGGACACTAAGTTCATAAAGAACTTTTCTTTAAAAATGATATATTATGGAAGAAAATACCATGAAAATAATAATCCTATGAGAATTGTTTTTTAAGCACAGTAAATTTGAGCCTTGGTCTTCATGAAGATACTACAGCTTATATAGAAAACTATAAATATACAAGACTCCAGGAAAAAAAGTCAGAATACGTATTATTTAACATTCTGTAGGCCTAAAAAACTTTTGAAGGGAGGGAGAAAGATGGCCAACTGAATCTTCACTCAAGAATACAGAACTATGAAAAATTCCTGGGTCAAAAGTTCCAAGATGCTCCAAACGGAACCACACTTTGTGAAAACATACAATTTAGATATACTTTTTAAAGGAAAGAAGTACTGAATAATTGCAGTTCCTTCCAAAAAGGAGATCTTAAATTAAGGGGAAAAGATTCTAATAGTGTAAACGAATCTGGCTCAGAAAGAAAACTGAATAACATATCCAATGTTCTGTCCATAAAAGTAATGACAGTACATCTTTAATATTAAAGAAATAGGCTATAAAAAAGTTCATTCTCAGAACTGGTTTTAGTAAAATCTCATTTGTGCTCCTTTGTGGGTGCATAATAAAGTTCCATGGGTTTGTTCACCTTCCAGTATTTCTCACTGACCAATTCCAAAGAAAAAGAGCCATTTAACACCTAAAACAAAAAAAAAGAAACAATTATGAAAACTACTCAAAGTAGTCAGATGAAACTACATTAAAGTCCATCTTTAAAAAAAACTTGGGATAAACTTGTCACTTATACCATTCATGAGAGAAAAACAGATATATCAAGTTAACTACTCTGCTGCAATTTCTCTTCAGTGTATGCACCATTTTATTAGGCTCCACCCCACAACTTGCCACTCTCAGATGTTCAATGTGCCCCCAATATCAACAGCGTATTGTTTTAAATACTTACAGTGAACTGGCCACTGGCTGTTGCTATGTAAATGGTATACTGCTTCTCACTGGCTGTATCAAGGTTCATCTGGTTTGATTCTCCCTTGCTTCGAAGTTCTTCTAAAGCTAACCTCACAGCCAGATACTTGGATAAGTGATCAACAGTGGCATTACCTGAAGTCTTTATGTATCTGGAAAAACAAATCATTAAAACCTTAATTTCTACATTAATGATAAAAATATATGTAAATTATAAAACACATTTCCCAAAAGCCATACAAAATGCAAATGTCTCAATTATTGACAAAATAATATCAGAAATTTATTCCTCTATTATCTAAAAATTTCTTATTGAAAGGTACAGGAAGAGAGAAAAGGTCAAGCTCACATCCACCAGGCCATGAAAGTGCTACCTACCTTACCATCCAAAATATGACATAAAATAACAAAAATCAAATAGAAATACATACTGCACTGAGAGGAAAGAAAGAACATACCGCTCAACCCCAACAATCAGTTCTGAATCTACAGCAGCAAGAATACTACTAAGCATATAAGCAAACTTCTTCTTGTCTAAGAATTAATTATTTTCAGGTTTTTCAGAATGAGCATAAGTGCTAATTTTCAGATTTTTTTTAAAGCATGGTATATCATTCACTCACTCACTCAACCTGATGTGTATCTGCACTTAATGGCAGGTAGTGTGCTCTCTGGAGAGATATGATAAAGCAGACATCCTGGCCAGCCAAAAATTTTAGAGCATTATTAAGAAATTTAAATGATCCTTTCTCCTCCTCTACCTAGGAGGGTCATTCCTTTCAGATATGCAACTGCAGATGGCAAGCACATGAGGAATAAAGAAAACAATAATGCAGGCAGCTGACCTCTGGCAAACAATGGGATGACAAATATCACCGTTAGTTCTTACCTGAAATGGCTTTTTAACTCCAAAGGAAACATTCTAAATTCAGATAATCTGAAACTAACCCCCACTTACCTTGTCTGTGCACTGTCATCTTTTTCCATAAGTGTGGGATGAGGCCTGAATACTAATTCAATTTCACTAGCGCCATCCATTACTGGGTCAATTGCCACTGTTGCATTATTATTATCAAGCTCAAGCCCAGAATCATCAGATGTTTTGGTCCGTTTGTTACTAGGTCCTGCTTCCTGATTGCTGTGCGTGGATGCGTTACTACAGTGAGAACTGTCTCCATTGTCTTCTGCTCCACTACCATTTTCAATCTGTTGTTTCTTCCCTCGCTGTAATCTAGTATAGAGGAAAATAACATAAAACAGGTTGCTGGAATTTACATGTAGACCGTCTCAATGCATCAAGTTTGAAGTACATTTATTGAAGTTATTAAATTCTAAGCTCCCTGGTAGCCTAAAGGTTAGGGTTCCAGACTTTTATTGCTGTGGCGTGGGTTCAATCCTTGGTCGGGGAATTGAGATCTTGAAGCCACTTCAGTGTGGACAAAAAAAAAACCCTAAATTCTAAAAACATCTTAGTAACTGAATTTGCTCCAAGTTGAATAACGGCCATCTATTTCCCACACATCCCTGGAAAGTTTAGGGAAATACACACAGGCAAACATGTGAACAAATTTAACAAATACTTACATTCATTGAAAATTTTTCTTTTTTGATTATAGGGACTACTGGCAAATACTTATTTACATTTGGATACTTTTCTTATGAGATTTTAAATCGAAAGAAAGGTATAATTCAGATATGTTAAGCACTCTCTGCCTGCTGACCTCACCCAAAGCCAGCTAATACAATGCAAAATTATTCCAATACAAAAGATAAGATATCTAAATATAGAGCATGAATACAGAAGCATCTCTCTAACAAGCTCAAATACTATAAACCGGTTAACTGGGCAAGGTGCTTTGTGTACACATCTTATTTATTCATCAAAACAACCACCAAGGCAGTTAATACCATCATTTTATAATTGGGGTGGAAGATGGGAACTTAGCAGACAGCTGAAGAAACTGTGTGTGCCATACAGATTATCTCTGAAAGACAGAACAGTAAGTATAAAGGTGTCAAGGCAGAAACAATCTGGCTAAGTCGGAAAAACACCAAAGAAGCTTTAATATTGCTAGCAACTGAACGAAGCTTCTATCACATACTCTCACCACTAGAAATGTTCAAGCAAAATCAAAAGTCTATCTATAAAGGATTTCACAAAGGGGATTCTTTCTCCTGGTAGAAGACCGAAAGTCTGCATTTCAGAATCACTTCTAGAACCTTTAAATATGAATGCCTGTTCCCCAATCAAAGATTTTGATTTACTTAGCCTGGAGTGATAACTTTGAGGCTCTAGGACTCAAAAACTTCCCAAGTGATTCTGATGTTCAGCCAAGGTGAAAACTACTAGACTGGGATGTGGCTTTGGAAAGTCCTGACTCTCCCTGAAGCCTAAACATATAAGGAGATGTCAGAGCAGAAAAAAGAATGGAGGTGAGAAGTGCTCAGATTATACAGAGCTTTGGAAGCTACCATTAAGGTCTTTTAGCCTGAATGTGAAGAGAAGCTATTAGAGGCCTCAAAGCAAAGGAGAACTTGGACCTGACTTTCACCTTATCATTCTGGCTGCTGTGCTGAGAGCAGATGCTGTGGTGGTAAGCATGGAAAGTAGAAAGACCAATCAGGAGGCTACTTCAATACTTCAAACGAAAGACAGTCACTGCTTATACCAACTTGGATATATTATTGGAAAAGCTAAAAATATATTTACTCACAGACTGGTATACAGATTGGGAAAAAAAGAGAGATTAACAGTAACTCCAAAATTTTTGGCTAAAGCAAGTGTGATGATGATGTTTCCATCAACTGAAATAGCAAGAAAGAAGAGAAGTAGGGGGCAAAAACTGACAATTCAGTACTGAACATGTTAAGTTTGCAGAAGAGAAACAGCTAATGACATACAAAGGGAACCAGGAGAATATGATCTCTTGAAAGCCAGGGAAAGAAAACCAATCAAAGAGAAATTAACTGTGTAAAATACTAAGTAAGATGAGATCTCAGAATCAGCGACTAGATTTTTCCACATGGAGGTCAATGCTAACTTTGGTATGAGGGGTGGGGGTAAAGCCTGACTGGGGGAGTTCAAAATGGGAAGAAATTGGAGCTGGTGAGCACAGACAACTCTTATAAAGAAAAGAAGAGAAGTACAGTGGTGAGTGGCGAGAGAAGTGGGTATATGAGAGGTGAGGTTTTGTTTTGAAGATTCTATTACTTTAAAAGGAATCCCCTATTATCCCAGGAGACATATATTATACCTGCATGAAAAACTAATTACACAGAACTACTGTTGGTTACTGCATTTTATCTTTTTCAAAATGGAAGGTGTTAAGTAAATTCAGTATTTAATAAAATATTCAGAAAAATGGCCACCCTATCTGGCCTTCTTGCCCATGTACCTGTTCATAGCCTGTATCTTCAGTCCTTCCTCAATGCTGTGACTGAGTGCTTGCTGATTATTGTGCTTGTTGATCCTGGCTAATACTCTTTCTTGATGAGCTTCATACTCATCACGACTTGGATAAATTTTGCTGATGAGTGCATCAAAGTTTGGGTCTGGTCTTAGTGATCTTTTGGAAACTAGCTTTTTCCGACAGGTAGGGCATTCTTTATTGCTAAATAAAGAGAGGGAAAAGAAAATGTAAGTAATACCAGTATCTTTGGGCTGAAGACAAAAATAGTCAGCTTCCAGATTATTATCATCCTTTTCCCAATACCTTTACTAAGTCACAGAAATTTAAACTGATCAACCTGACTTTCCATGAATATCTGACTAGTGGCTATAAGCACGATCTTTGAAACCTGAGATACTCTCTACTACCTGCCAATAGAGAAAAATCTAAATACTTCCCTATGATAATTTATATATAACCATTTTAGAAATGAAAATCTAGTCTTTCCTAATTTAAAGTTCCCCTTTCTGATATCCATGCCATACAAGGAAAAACTATCCACTAATAAATATTCATGTTATCAATTATTTTATTAAAATAGCTTTCATCATATTATTTTACATACGTAAGAAGTGGAAAAACCGTGGTTCCAAGCTTTGTAGTTTCCTCAAAATAAAAACTCATCCTGAAAAGCTTCTAAAATTATATAAAACCAACTGTTTCAAAACAAAGATTCTCCAACAATTACAACCTAGACTTTAGATAAATTTCCAAATCTCAAATGAATATGTATTTCTTAAAACCCACAGCACTAGAATACTGTCCTCACATAATTTAAATACCTAGGTATCATTCATTTTAACATACCCACTTCTGAGGGCTGTGATAATGCAGTCTGCACAAAAACGATGTAAGCACTCTTTTGTAGTCATGGTGTTCTTCAACATATCCAAACAAATTGGGCACATTAATTCACTGTGTAGACTTCGAGGTGAAACCACAATTTCTAAGCCATCTGTTATTGCCTCCTGTAAAAACATCACTTTAAAATTAAATGCTACCTATTTTTTTTTTTAAGTTATGGACAAGTTCAAATATACAAGAATACAGAAGAGACAAAAATGAACACCTGTGTAGCCATCATCCAGTCACCATCACTGTCAATTCACAACCAGTCTTGTTTTATCTATAATCTCCTTCAACTTCCCTAAGCCCCAGCACCAAAGCATTATATAAATCTGTTATCATAATGTTAAAGATAGAATATCATATATTTAAAAGACAACTAATGGTAAATTAGTCTGGTATAATTTTAAAACAGCACTGAATATGGAGTCAGATGGCTTAGGTTCTAGTTCAACAACTAGCTCTGCAACTCTGAAAATTTTAACATTGTCTTCTTACCTGCAAAATGAGGAAGTTAAGGCTAAAGGAACCCTAAAAATTCTTCCATCTGCAAAAGTACATTTTGATAATAAACTATATATTTCATGCCATCCATTAAAAGATTTTAAAATATGAATTTAAATATTTTGTATGCACAGTTTAACAGGATCTTGTTTTAAAATCACTTTTTGAACCTTAAAAAATCTTGATCCACAGAAGAGTTTTCTACCAAGTGGTCAGGTTCTCAGGCTAACCTACAAACTGACTTAAACTATAGCACATCTGTCTGAAGTAAAAAGTATTAGTATCTCTAACTGTCATGACTAAAATTGTTGTCAGTGAGAAATGCATCTGGAGTTCCAATGTAGAATTCAGGCCACATCTTCCAGAGGCACAGATTAGTGACTCCTACTTTCTCCATCACTACCACTACTGACCGTTCCCACAAGGCAGCACTGAGAACCAAGGCACCGATACAGGCTCCTATGGATTGAGGAAAGGGGTCTAGTTAGTGGCCACTGAAAAGGAAGATGCAGGTAGAAATAAGGGCTTCCAACAGGGTTACTGACACTTCCTATTTCCACTGGCTCTCCATCATGTTTGTGTTTTCTCTATAGGGTCAAAGATTGATGACTCCACAAGAAAAGACAATGAAACTTTAGATACTTGTCCCTTATCAAGTATCTCTCATATTTCAACCTTTCTATATAAAGCACCTTCTGTATTTTACTTAGTTTAACATGTACACAAACTTTTGACTTAGGAATTATAACCTCCATTTTATGAATCATACAGGGTATGATGATGACCCAGCTAGTAATCAAGCCTGTCCCCCTTGGCCCCTTGAAAACTTGCCTAGCAAAATCCCAAGCCTGGATAAACCATCCATCCAGGTTTGCATGTCTGCACCTGTGTATCTCTGTAGCAATGCAGAGGGGAGAAGGGGAGGAATCACACAACCAGACTGGTATCAGTAAAAACTCACTTTTCTTTTCACTACACTGTTTTTCACACCTTTTTTTCTATCTGCAGACCTTCTATCATGGAAATGTTAAACAGATTACCTTACCTCAAATTCATTAAAAGAGAGCTCTCATTTTCTCTCTACCTGATCTTTATAAAGCATCTTCCTCGTTCTTATTACAAGGAGAAAGTACACCACTTCCTATCAAATGTATGCTCTTTCCTATCTTCTCAAGCATACTCCCCTTTCAATTATTCTGTCTGCTCTCAGACTTCAGCAATCTCTCCCTCCTCACTAAATCAATCTGGATTAACATAGGGTTGCGGCAGTGAAACGTGAACCTTAGAGCTTTGTGCAGAGGGAAATGGGGTGAGAGTAGTTCCACTTCTCATTAACAAAATTTAAAACTTCCTGATTCTACGCTCCCCTCAAGTTTTCACTCATTCGGCTCCTCTGCACAGCCAAACTTTTCTAAAACATTACCTATTCATCTTCACCTCCCCTCCTCCCCCTTTACACACAGCACAACCTACTCGAGTGAATCTATTCTTCTCAAGGGTTACCAACTATATACTGCCAACTTGAATGTTCACTTTTGTAATCCTCATCTTACTCATCCTCTCAGCAGTACTGAACACAGTAGCTGCATCCTCCTTGAAACACTCTGTCCTCTTTTTTTATCTCCTCTCCTCATCTCCCATTTTTCCTTCCATTTCTCTGGCTGTTCCTTCTCAGTCTCCTTTCCCATTACTTAATTTCTAAATGCTGAAGCTCCTCTGGATAAAGTTCTGAGCCTTCTGCTCATCTCTCTCTCTAGGCAATCCGGCATTCCTGTGGTCAAAATGCACAGACACGTCCTAAAACTTTATATTTAGCCCAAACCCCTAGGTAGCATTTCTGCTTGTCTTACAGGCATTTCAAACTTTCAGACTTCAGTTTTAAGGATGTTTATCTCCTTCAAACTTGTTCCTCTCCCAGTCTTTCCCATCTTCACCTTCTCAAAATAGTTACCCTGTTATTATTACAGCATCGAGGAACTTTCCTATATACAACTTCTCATATGTGTAATTTACCTGCTTGATGCCTAAACTCCCTGAGCTGATCCCACATCTGTTTTATTCACCACTTTACACTAGTCCCTAGTTTAGGACCTGGTACACAACAGGCACTCAAATTATCTCTTCAATGAATGGTCAACCAACATACCCAAAAATTAGGACTATTTTGTATATAAATGTATTATTACAGTTATGTTCTTTCAAATTTTCATTTTCTAAAAATATATTCCAATTTACATATGTCTCATATTTTCCCTAAATTATCTTGGTCTACATTACCTGAGGTGTTCGTTGTAGTTCATATAAACTGAGTTCCCATGTTTTGCTTAATGGTTGAGTTCCATTTGTCTGCACAGCCTGAGACATTGCTAGGAATAAAGACAAGAGAAAAACACTTTAGTATCTGAAAGGGAAGTAAATCTCAAAACTAATTTTTAGACACTGTAAATCCTGAGAATAATTATTAAAAAAAAGTACACACTAGTTCAAGAATGAAAATGAAGAAAAGCTCGAGAATACTTCCATTTATAAATACAAGCTACTTGACAGCAAGAGGCTATCACTGATCTCTGAACACCTAACAGTCCGCATGCAGAGAATGCTTCACTATTACTAATGTATAGAAAATCCTCTTCACCCAAAATAACACGTGTCTTTCTGAAACTAGTGGTCATGGAACTTAGAACTAAGTCAGGAAAATGTCAGACTTCTCAGCATGGTCACCGGGTTCAATTTTTCCCAGAGGCACAGAATCTACCTTCTGAGCGCTTTAAGCCACCGGTCATCCTGCGTCTACTTTCACAGCTCCACTCATGAAGACTCCCGTCTACTAAGGTCAGCTTCTAATTCAGAAAGCTCCTCCTAATGGTGAGTCCAAAACTGCTACCCATCCCCCCTACAGCTTGCCCTCTGGAGGCAAGCTGATTAAGTCGAACCATTTTGCTACACAACAGTCTTGCAAATATTTGGACACTGTTATCATATCCCACCTGATTTTTCTTTACTTCTGGCTGAATGTCCTAGTTCCTCCTACTGCTCACCATTTGATACAATTTCAAGGTCTCCTTGAGTTCTAGTTATTTAATGGAGCACTAAGGCAGTCAAAGTGGTCCAGTAGACAGTGAGAAGGAAAAATATCACACTTGCCTAAAGACACAACTTGCACCATCACAGTACATCATATACTCTACACTGGCACATAAACAACGAAGGACATGATCTATCTGTATCCAGGATGCTGAATTTCCCACTTTTAGCAGATACCATTTTAAAATATCTGCTCAAGACTCCTGCTCAAATAACTGCTAATGAGCAATTAACTCAACTTTGCTTTTATAAGTAAAAGCACTTCACTGAACTTTAACCTAAATTCTCGTCCCCTCTAAAATTCAATTCACATTGTCTCGTCGACAGAAAGCTACATTTCCATATGAAATTTTGCCTTTGTCCAAGCAAAAATGTGAAATGTTCAAATTTTTCAAATTTGAGTGAATCATGCATTTTGTTTATAATTTTGAGGCTGTCCACTGAGTCTACCTTAAAGCCTTGTTCATTTTGCTTATTGGAACTAGTGGACTCCCAAACAAGCAAACATTCCTTAAGCCTTTTGTCCTTAAACCAAATTATCATTCAGGTGCTGTATGATCCCTGATCAGTGTCCCCTACAGTAATCTGGAATCTGAGCAATTTTTCTCAGCTAGTATAGCTGAGTTGCACAGTCACGAGACTAGCTGAGTTTGTTAATTCTATGATTAGCATCCTGTGGTTCTTTGAGTATCTCCCTGAATGCTTTAACTCCATTCTCTGAGAATCATAAATTGAAAGAATTTTGTGAAAGAAACTTCTCCTTGATGAAATACTCTTTTCTGTATCATTCAATCTTCAGAGGATCAAATGATGGCACAGGCTCTACTAACTGCTATGTAGTTAAACTTTAGCAGCCAACGGATACGAGAGACCCAAGAGACCAGTGTCTGCTCTCTGGAGCAACAAACTTTGCCATAAGCCTCTCTAAAAACGTTCACAAGGAGATATCTAAAAGAGACATCACTTTGTTTAATGGAGGAGGCCGTTCATTTCTGTACTCAGGGACTAAGGTTAACATTTCTGTACTCTAGGGACTAAATCATGGTTTCTAGCCACCACTTTATGGGCTTCCCAGGCGGCTCAGTGGTAAAGAATCCGCTTGTCAACGCAAGAGACACAGGTTTGTTTCCTGGGTCAGGAAGGTCCTCTGGAGAAGAAAACAGCAGCCCACCCCAGTATTCTTGCCTGGGAAGTCCCATGGACAGAGAGGCCTAGTGGGCTACAGTGGGACACGACTTAGCAACTAAACAATGAGAAGAAGCCACCACTTTACGAGCACTGCTTGATCCTACTGTATGCAGCGTGTCATCAACACAACCAAAACAAGCTCTAGAAAAGAAAGGAAGAGAAGTACCAAAACACGATGGCCAGTCTTTCTGACTGGTATGCTGAAGCCTTAAAATTAAAACTTGGACTTCAAAGCAGCATGTCTTTAAAGACTCTAGCAAAGAAAAAAGGCATTCAGATTCTCCTTACACACCCAGCATTCTGTTTTGGCATCACCATCTTTTGTACTCTCTGTCCCCCTTTACTGTCTCCCCTGAAACTCCAAAGGAACTACCTTTTCCTCAAGGTCTTTCCCAGGAAAACCACCAATGACCCACACCCACTTAAGACTGCTACAACGGTAGATAAACCAATGGAAACTAAAGGAAGGTACAGTCTAGGGTTAACAGTCATAATAAAAAAACTTTCCAAAACCGTAAGGCAGAGAGACTAAGGGCTGCTATTGGATTTCATTCTGTTAAGACACTGTGTCCAGGAATCCCAGGCTTATATTAATGACTCCATTTACTTGTAGCCTCTCAGATGAATAAAGTGTTGAAAACTGGCTGGAAAAACAGAAAAAAAGAAAGTACAAAACACTCCACAGGAGACTAGGGAATGCAAGGAACTAGAAAAAGCAAGAAAACATGAGTGATACACAAGCCTTTTCTGATGTCTTCCCTTTAAAAGTCAGACTAAAATTCAAGGTTGTGAGCAAGGAATGGAACAATAAATAGGAAACATATGAAACTGGCATCAAAGTGTACAACTTGTATTGTGGGACAGGCCCAACAGACAATGTAAAAAGAACCTGCCCTTCTTTTTCTTAACAGGCTAACATCTAAAATACATGATTAAAAAAAAAAAAGGAACAGAAATTTGCAACTTTGGATAATTTCCAACACAGCAGTTGAAAATGTGAGAAGACCTTTAGAAAACTGACAAAGTACAAACTAAAACAAACACATGATACTTCAGATAAAAAAAACAAAGGTCCTTTAGCCTCTTAAGTTTCAAGGACCTATTTGTAAAGATACTGACAGATACAGCAATCAGAAAAAATAAGTGGAAGAGGCACTGCTCCGTATTAGCAAATAAAGGGTATATGCGGGGTGGGGTCAGGTGGGATGTGTGTGTGTAAAGAACAATGGCCTCAAACCTACCAAGGATGCAGCTCTGAAGATGACTCTGGAATTCACTGAACTCAAAGTAAACTACCTTTAAATACAGCTTCCCTGTAAATACACGTGCCACTTTTCTACCATAAACTCTATAATAACAAAATGCATCCATCAGAGAACTAAAACTACTAAGACGGGAGGAATTTCTCAGAACTCTAAATCCTAACCCACGTCCCAACACTGTTACCCTGGGGTCAACTATAAACAGAACACTCCTTTCATCTGTCTGTAAAACGCTCCGCCAGCAAACTAATAGGAACTGTCAAATAAAATATTCTCCTAAAGCCTTGTTTCTAGAGATATCAGTTCCACTGAAAATAGCCAAATTTTATCTGATTTGGATATTTGTATACCTGTGGCAACTAAGATTTAGGAAGTAAACCACAAGCTAGTCATAGCTCCAAAACATCACAGTATCATTTGGAAAACCAGGATCAATATGACTTTTGAAAATGTTCCAGTCTTTCTGTTTGAATCTGTATTACAATCAGTCATAAGTTCCCTGGTACCTAGTCTTAAATGCTACTGCATGAATGCCAATGCCATCTTACCAGATAACACAGCAGGTGTTACCAAAAAAAAAAAAGAAAAGGATACGGTCTTGCTGATTACCAAAACCACTACCTCATGTTTTTTCTTTTTTCTTTTTAAATTATGAAAGTATGATAACACAATTACAGGAGATTTGGAAAATACAGAACAAGGTTACATATAGTTCCACTATATATTAAATTAATTTTTTAAGTAGATTAAGATTTTTTAGTTGGAGTTTCAATACCAAACTCTCAAAATTAACAGAATGAATATATTAGAGAAGTAGAAGGATATAGTAGACCTGAAAATCACTATGAGAACCAATTCAACATAATTAAGATTTCTACAGTTTTCACACAACAGTGGGATACAAGTTCTATTCAAGTTCCCAGACAATAAACCAGGAGACATTGGAAGCTACCCATTAACATAAAACAAAGTGCAAAAATTTCATGGTCTAAAGATACTGAAATAGAATCTGTTCTCTTATCATTGTGGAATTATGTTAGAAATCAGTATCGAAAGATATTTGAAAATAACCCACATATTTTCAAGTGCAATGTGACATTTACCAAGAGAGATCTTTGACTTCGCCATTGAAAGCCTCAGTAAAGGTAGAAGTCTACGAGAACACAGAGGGTATGTCTCAATTTTTAAGAACCTGTCGGCAGTGAAGATATCAACAATATTTAGTAACATCTCCTGTGATCTGTCCAAGGAGGGTCAAAAGGGGATCTGAGATGAAAACTTCCATTTTCTGACTCAAGACACAATCCACATATACAGAGGGAGCTACAAATTCTACTTTGGCCTAAAGCACACGAACTACATGTACTCAGGAAGCTCAAATTTCCACTTTTGGCAGTTACCAAACAGATAAGCTCCCCAGAACTAGTTCCTCTTTGCTTTTAAGTCAATATATAATTTTTCACTTAAATTTAACCTCAATTCTACCCTTCTCCCAAATCATATACAAACTTTCCCCTTCTTTGATTTAGTGACAAGCTGCATTTCTGTCTGCAGCTAATTCTTGCCCAAGTCAGGAACATAAAAGACATTTAGCTTCTGTTTTTCAGGTGAGAATGAACTGTGACTTTGATGACTCGTATTTGGGAGTCGTCTAGATATTCATACTACTGACATATACATAGATCAAAGAAAGAGAAAAGGAGTAAGAATGCATGGCCTAGGTAATAACTACAATCTGAAAGGCTGGAAAGTAGAGCTGAAGCCAGTGAAGGAGGGAACTGAGGTGTCGGACAAAGTAGACTCTTTCCAGTTAATAGAAGTTGACTACTG